TATATAATGCGTTTAAGTTGAGGAAAACTTTGATATGCTGTTTGTCTTAGCAGACATGCGTTCATTTGCTTTTCCTGATAATAGATGGAAACCAGTTCTTTTTAAAACAAAACAATGAGTTTGCCACAATGAATAACAATGCATCATTTTCGTATTTCTAATGAAAAATCAACTACAACCCAATTTTTTTTGGCGCTAAACAAACCCTCAACAGTACTAGAAATTTCCTTTTTTGCCTAAAGTTGACGGTTTAGATTACTGCCAGTCTTTATGCGGCTTGTGAAAAATCCAAAAGAATCTTCACGATGCAACCCTAAAGGCCCTTAATGGAGTTTAAAATTGGACTTGTCAAAAATGGTTCAAAAAGCTAGTTCTGATAGCCCTAGGTTATCACTACAGAAATTAACAGCCGTTTTAGAAAGAAGAAGATCAACGGCCAATTGGATCATCCACCTGGACTCCAACGGTTAGCCTTCTTAAGATTTTTAACGCATCTGTACCTTTTAGACTTAACGATTGTTTTAAGCCTTTACACTTTTCGACTTTTCGGTTCATTATCAGTTGAGAATTTAGTTCCTGTGTAATTTTTTATAGGTAGCATATTGAAGCGATACTCTAACGCGTTTGCACTTACCAACATCGCTAGAAGCACGGTTGCTATTAAACAATTATTTGCCGGATAAAAAAGCATATATTGAAAATACTAATTAGTGATTTAAGTCCCAAATTGGTAAACTAATTTCAAGGGATGGTGGTCATATTGAATAAAAATGACCGCAAGGAATGACACTTCAACACATACAAAATCGTTGAAATATACGTCCTTAGTTAGATACAATCTTAGAAACAAAGCATAATTCTCAATTTACGCAAAATACGCGTTAACCTATTTATAAGTACATATCTATGCAATACGTACATGACGTGGGACAGCCCTTTACTGTTCTAAAATTAATCGCTCAAAGCGTATAGTTTTTCTGTATTTTTTTTCAGTCAAATGAAATACGCCTTGGGTACATATTCCATGAAAAACAATCCTTGTTTTGGATTCAACGGCAGGTACGTTTAACGAAAATAGCACTAAACTTCTCTTATTCTGGAAGAAAAGTAGTATCATCATTGGCGTCATACGGCTAAAGCTTTGGCTGAAAAAAGTCAGGAATCGCTGGTCCAATCCCCGTCGGTGATGTACACTACATTACAAAAAATTAATAAATAAAAAAATAATATAGGATTTAATAAAAATTAATATAGGAAAAACTCATTGTGGTTTTACCCGTATAAGTACTTAATTTGGCTAATCGCGTTATACATGGAGCAAATTACAAGGTACGCGCCTTTTAGAAGGTCTAGGAATCTTCTAAGGCATAGCAATAAGATCCCTATGCCTATGTAATACGTCTTAATTTATGAGCATTTTCTGTGTTGATTGAGTTTATGTTTTTAGAGATTTTAATAAACAGATCAAATTTCTTGAGGATAAACGAGTGTAGATTGAAAGGGTGATATCCGATGGTAAATAGTTAAGCGGATGACAAGTTTTGGCATATTCTGATTTGACTGGTTTCTTGACTGTGTTTACTCTGTGATAGGCTGTCTATGATATTGAATCCAATGGGATACTTGCGCCAACATGACTGTTGTAATATACATCATTTCTATTAAAACGCATATAGTTTGTCAATGTTCATGCGATGTCCTTTTTAGGTATAGGACTAGTATTGACTATGCATGAGACTTCGTCAATGTGTCTAGTAGCCCATTTCTTCTACTTTGAATGCAAATCTATATTGTCATTTAGAATACTTCTTCATGCGGCAGCAGGATATCTCTAACCCGTGATTCCACTAGGGATTAGGTAAACCCTTCTAGTGTTCGAGAGGCAGATTTGAGGCATACGGCACTAAAAGAACAATAACCCAATAACCGAAGTAAGCGTTCAATTTAGCGAAACAAATCATTGTTTTACGTCTTCAAGTACTTAAAACTGCAGCTTCGAATTTAGCCCTCTAGTGGTAGGAGGCTGTTCTTTTTCTAGGAGGAGAAATTCTATTTGCTGGGCTTTTTGTTGTACTTACGAATTACTTTGTCTAACTGGCACAGCAGCGGCTGATGATTTCTTTGTCAGTGAAACTGGAACTATATGCTGCTGCATCGCATGTTACTGGTAATTCCCAACTCAATCTAGTAGTGTATCTTCCCTTTGAAAAAATAATCATCCAGTATGATGGAATTGAAATTCAAGCACTTATATGAGCGTTTGTTGCAACGAAGGGTATTTAATGGTAAATTGTTCTCTTCTAGTCGGGTTTTAACCCACTTTCATATAACTTTGTACATAAACCCTGACGGCTGAAGTCGCCGATGTAGCTCATTGAAATTAAGCTCATAACATGGTGTATGTTGCTCTTTCCAATGTTAATTGAAAGAAATATGTGTACAATTTTTTTTATTTATGTGAGTAATCGTATTAACTAGAACTGTACACAGTTTTACCATATAAAATACACGCAGTTGGATAAATTGTGCCGCGTTAAAGTACCAATGGTCTTGTAGTCAAGATTGTCGAATCTGCTCATTTAAACATTTTTATTTAATTAGCCGTAGCGAAAACGTAGGTCGTTAGCTTGGCTATAATCCACGTGATAACCTTCCTTATAGGAAACGAGTGAAACGCTAGATTGAAAGCCGTTAAACATTTATCGCACTCCAAGTGCACAGATAGACATGGGTGCAGTAATTAATCAATTTTGTGAAACTTTAGAAGATCAATAGCAGCCCAATTTATCCGGTCAAAGATCTGTTGACACGATTTGAATTTGAACAATAATTAAATTAATTGATTTGTAGTTTTTCTATGAGCCGCTGCTACAAATAAACATTCAGCATAAAAAAGAGCATGCAAACACAATTGACCAATCGCTTCTACCAGAGAACTGCATTTGCGATCGGATTGATCGTGCGAAACGGTAGAGCGTATACATTTGTACAAGTAGAATGTTTTTGCACAGTTCAAGGGTTTGTGTGTCGGGGATAATGCATGTACGTGCTCATCAAATTGCCGCAGCTGATGCACTGCGCGGGTCGGCAAGGTTTAAACAAATTCGGCGTCTCCAACTTCAACCAATCCATAAGCCATAGGCACACACCAACTGGCGGACAGCCGCAGTTGTTGGATTGGGACGTCTACCAACATCGGACCGCACGATGGGATGACTCCTACGCGAACTACTGGAAAAGAATGGCTTATCTCTTGGGCGCTATGTCTAGCACTCACCTGCGCCCAGTCCGTGGGCTCCAAGTGCGTTTAACGGCACTCCAACGGGTACACTACAAACCTCAAATTTTGAAGGAACGGTTATTCTGGGCCTCCCTATGAACCCATGACGCGACGCAGACACAAGTGAGTAAAGCAGCACATGCTGAGTAGAGCTTCATCAAGCTCAATCGACAATTAACCGTTGTAAAGGTGCATCACTAAAGTTTATGTTCGTATACATTTTCTAGTAATGAGTAACTGTCATATGTCGTACAATTTTATTTAAACATCACTTCAACGTCGTTATCTGCGATTGCATCCCAGTAAGTAGCGTGCAATGACCGACACATTAGCTGCTTTTACCTGTAGCTGGGATCAGCTGTGATTGTAATTTGGCGGAGCTTGATGGTCCTAGATGGTAGTTGATGAAGCGCATGTGTGTAGGTACATGGTGTGCCTGGTTCAAACGCATCTCCCTCCCAGCTTCTCGCATTGACTTGGATGTAGCGGCGAAGCCCTGTCTGTCTAAAAGAGCAGAATGGTTACAGAGTCGGTAGCTATATCAATTAATTTCAGGCCAGAAGCGGCCCTATAGTCTATCGGGTGCCAGTAGGTGCGCTATGTATTATTGTCTACTAAACGAGCTTCAGTGAGAATACAGTTATGTCAACGAGTTATTATCACCCGATGACCTTCTATCCCGACTATATAGACAATTATCCGTATATCTAGAGATGTTTCCTGCTCGCTCGTACATTCCATATCGGGTCTAATCTTCTTTCTGATGTGTATAACTGAATGGACAGTACCTGGTTTGTGGTCACAGGAACTTGAAGACGAAAGTCCAGATTCTCTGAGTGTAGTGGAGAGTGCCGCACAGATTACTAGTCAGGAACAATACTTTACTCGTTAGCTCAAGTAGGTGATTTCCTTCAAGAGAGGAATCAACTATGGGGATAATCAGCTGGACAAAGAATTTGAACGAATATAGTAGTTGAATGATTTTTTTATTGAGTAACCACTCTGGAATTTTTTATAGATGGAGCACGCTAATTATGAGTTTCTTTTGATCGCGGAAGCTGTAAAGACACATTCTGGTTTTTCTCAATATTTACCTTCCTTAGTGTTGCGAATGAACAAGACTCTTTGTATTTGTCAGGTCTAATCTCTTTTTAATAGGTGGTAGAAGTGATCTTTCATCGCTTGTTACTAGCTAATAAATTCGATGAAACTTAGTCGACTTGTTTCTAGGAAAATCGCATTTGCACTCGTTTAGCGACTCGGGTTTATGTTCTACATATGGATACATGAAACGGTCTCACGAAGTACAAGTCGAGCTACCTGTATAAAAACGGAATATGTACAAATTACCGTATGGTATTACAATGCACATCGTGGGCGCACATCTTTCACCTTATTATTTACTTTCACTTCATTACGTAATCAAGTGTATGCGTTCAACATGGCCGATTTAAATCGAGTAGTTAGAGTTTTGTTGTCCTAATCGTACAGTCGACTGTTTTAAACAGTGCTTTTATGCTCATACGGATATGTAGACTTGATACCTTCTTACCCGTCTCTGCACTATTCCATAGGCGACGGTAAACTTTTTGCTGTTTATAGTACTAAACTGACAAAAATGATTAACAAAGCTATACACGTTGGGGAAACGTCTTTTCAACGTTTAGTATGACAGCAAATTATCTCTATTACTACTGTACAGTGTTATCTACGATACGAATAAGAAGATATCGTCATTATGAAAACCGAAAAGTGAATTTTAGGTCATACACCATTGAAGTTTCTTTGAGACCAAGTTAAGATTCGTTTGTTTGTGTGATGACATCAACATGTTTAATACAGCATGGGCACATTTTTTATGCCACAACCAATTGAAAATCATATATTTATATATGCTTAGATCCAATGAACGACATAAAAAATGCGTCGATGAAATCAAGCGCACCTTGCACGGAAAGCCTTAAACTCTAAAAAATTTTTATAAAATCCTTTACTGTCAGACCCTTAATAAAAAAAATATTTGAAAAATTATTCTTCGGTAATAGCTTTTCTCCAACGGGGGAAAGAGAAAGTGAGTTTCATTCTTCTTAACTCCTTCTATTTTATATGTATATTGTTGGTGAATATTTATTTATGAGAATTTTTTTACGTATTAAAACAGAATCGGATACGTTCTGCAATTAAAAGTCACTTTACGGTACTATACATGGGAAAAAGGACCCGTTAAAGAAATGTATACCCTGAATCGACTTCCGTGGCAGCAAGATTGTTTCCAAAACATCTCGCTTGATTACATTCATCAGCAGAAATCGTATTAGATTTTTCTAGTATGGTATTTTTCAAACGTCAAATTTAAGAGAGCATTATAGTGGGCACGACAGTAGTAAGCAGTGCTGAGCAATTTGGGTTGCTAAATTAACCCATATAAATTTATCCATAGGAAATGCTGGACAAAATCATCGCACCTGTTTGTGTGTCACGCGAGTTTTAGGATGCGGAACATGGAGCTGTGCCGAAGTTATCCTGTCGTATTGCGTAGAAAAATATGACGAATTCGATAGTTGCAACAGTATGACTCTTACCTAGAATTGGGAAACTTAAGTTTGTTTAAAAGGATATTGTTGTTCACGTCCATGTTTACTTTAGGAGAACAGCTTATTAGCAGGCTTTTAAGTCACATACGAAGTGTTCGCTGTGGAAACACTGATAACAGTGAACGGAAAAAGCTCTTTTGAACCGAAACGGTAGAGATAAGCCAAATCTTAAACAAGGAAAAACATGAATAGCTATTGATTTTAGGGATAGTTTAAATGAAGGGCCGTCGTTTTGCTAAAGAAATCAAATATCACTTCGTTGACAATTAGCTAGAAATGAAATTCTTAGGAGTACCACATTTGAGCAATCCATAAAGCTGCTTGATAATACCAACAGTTGCACACGAGTAACTGTTTTAAAGAATTGAGCATTAATCGCATGTATGCACTTTTTTGAAAGTTCCATGGCAATACTGCCCAAGTTACAATTTTTAAAGATCAAGTGACTGAATTAATCAAGACGATAAGCAGTAAAAGGTACCTCTTCAAACTACAATATAAAGTATTGTTTCCTGCCTCTGTTGCGCTTCATGGAAAAGCACTATTGCACGTAGAAAACGCATTTCTGGTCCTGCGTCCGAATTGTGCATCAATATAATTTCAGGGTTTATGAACGGTGAACGGGCATTTCAAAACCTGTTGAAATATAAAAAATAGTTTTCTAGCCCACGGTCTTAGATATTTGCATACGTTAAAAAATTTGATGAAAAGAGAAGTTAGGAGAACTACGATGGAAATTCACAATCTTTTATCAAGACACAGTGTGGCTATACACTGGAAATTAGCCCCTGGAAGTTTGCATATGAAGAGTGCACTGACCGAAATATAAGTGACCTGTATCTGTATGTGGAACAGCAGATCTTAGCAGCGAAGGGCACGACAATATTCGGACTTCTTAGAATTAGACATCAGCTCTAGCATAAGTTCCTTGTTGACATTTTTAGACGCCAGAACGAGGTTTCGTTGTATTTCTGTTTTTTTGTTTGCTTGTGTATTCGTTTTTAAACCGTCTGTTAGAAATCAATGGAACTTTGAGCTTCAACCGTAAATATGGACCGGCTTTAATAAAATTGTCATATGGAAGTTCAGTGCAATGTTGCGTGCGATGCCGTAATATAAGGAAGTCAATATTGGGCAACAGGTAGCTCACTACATATTGCCTCAAATATATGGCATAAAAATGAATTGTACAATCTCAACACAATGCTCTGTTAAGGCAAAATCGATAAAGAATATTTCACCGTTACCAGAGACACAGCTGCGTGTAAAATTCCTAAGGAACTTAGTCTTTAAGTGCGTACTTTGCGCTAATCACGACGAGATTATTTACATTGGCAGATTTGTATTACGATAGCACGCTGAGCAGCTTCACATAACGCGTTGCTTTGATGCATTGTATTATCACATTCATTATTTTTCCGCCGCTGTCCTAATTTCACGTTTTTGTTATTTCTCTAGTATCCTATAGCAGCGTAATCACTTGACCATTTAAAGGCTAATTGCCTTAGAAACCTTACAGGCACCTGTGTTTCTGATAATGGCAAAAGTATTGTTAAGTGATTCTGCTTAAATAGAGCTTTGTATTGGGGCTCTATAATTTTCGCATTCATCTTGCCGACTACAGTTATTATTTTATAAGATAGATTAAAAACAGTTATTAGAAAACCATTTTCAAAAACATTCATAAGCTCAACCGCCAGTTGTACTTCGAAGGCGAAAATATGTTAAAGTGGTTAGGTCGATGCAAGAACTTCAAAGTAAGGAAAATACAGGACGGTAAGTGTTGATTATTTGTTCAAAGCATTATGCCGCTATAGATAGATTCTGCCCTTAATGGAGGTCTTTGCTCGGAGCATAACAACGATGGTGCGATAGATGATGATTGTAGGTTCCTATATAATCTTTTCAGGTTGCATATACGTAAAGCTATCTGATATGAATATTGTATTAAAACCGTCGTTTTTGTTCGGTCCAACCAAAAGAGTTCGATGTTTCAACTAGCCATATGGAATTATTTTGGCTACTCTTTCACGGATTAGTAGTAGACTGGTGAACCGGTAGCCCTTTCAAAGTAGCAGATTTAATTTCGTTAGTGGTAGCCTGAGTGCGTGTCATAATACGTAGAATAGGAGCGCTTATCCGCTCGAGCATGGTTGCGTTGGTGCGGAATAGCCGTGCATAATGAGAAGCATAGGATGAATGTGAATAGGCCTTATCAGTAGTTTCAATAGTGCCTATGAGGAAGATGGTAAGCATGGTTTCTGCGAATGCAGCGGCTAAACATAAGCGAAACTAGAGACTGCGTGTCGATTTAAGTACCGGGTTAGAAATATTACGAGGCAATTTACTTTTTGGCAGCAGAAGCACTAAGTATCTTACGTGCAAATTTTGGTTAAATAGTATTGTATTGTAATTGAAGCCATATCCGCACGTAATTCCAGAATTCAGCTCTTAAGTACGGTCAAGCTAGAGCAGTTGACTCTGTCTTAATGCAATGAGCTGCGTTCGAATATTGGAACTGTCCGTGGTCTCAAGCACACAAACTGTTTAATATTCTTTTCCTAGTTCTGGTGCTAGAAGCGACACGTTTCGGGTAGTAACTTCAAGTCTGTCACAAAATATTGGTCTAAGTGACAGAACACGGCTTTGCGAGTTCACTGTATTTTAAGTAAAGTACAGTTTTGCAATAATGCCGGATTCTGGCATCGTATTTTGTAAATAAACTATAATATTTTTATTACATAGCAGAAATCAAATAGAAATAAAGCTATCGTGTTTGTCAATGCCAAAGTGATAATTACATTTTGACCTAGACACATCGAGTAGGCTGAAACGTTACGTGTCACCTTTGTCAAGGGTCTAAATTTTCGTGACTTCGGATCCCTCTAATTAGCCCATCTGAAAGTTGCAAGGTAAATTTGCATAATCTACGTAAGAGGATGACGTAATTAAGGGTCGCTGATGTAATCAAATATAAAAAAAAGTAAAGAATGATTGCATAAAGGCAGGCGTGTGAAAATAAATAAATTAGACAATGGTTTGTTAAAACTAGTTGCACAGACGGTGAGATTGTAGTCCATAAAATACGGAATCCTCACCGTAGCCTATAAAAGTGTTTCCTGCGGTCAAATATTTGGTTAACGATTCCCTAAAGCACTTAGCCTGGTCTAAATAAAATTCATTTACAACAACATTGAGCCTCTGGAATTTTTGCGTAATTCTCGGTGTGTCCACAAGGGAAATTAACCAACCCAGTTTTATTTTAAATTTGGCTTATTGTAAATTTGAAACAGATTTATATTAGCATTATCTTTAGGATCCCCTGCGAAGTGCGGCTTATTGAAGTAGGCTTATTGAAGATACGTCTATATATTTAAAAATTATACTCTGGTACGAAAACTAGCGCGGAAGTTTGTGTAGCTTTTTATAAAAAAGCTTTGCTGAATTGATGGCTCTGAATCTCTTTAGGCTTAATTGAAGAATTCGCTACCATATAACATTGAACCCAACTGAAAAGTAAAAAATGTGTCCCAATGATAAATATTTTTTTCGTTAATTTTATTTATGATTATTCACTTTAGTATTTTATTGTATTTCGTTAAATCCTGTCAGATCAGGATTTGCTAGGTCCTAGCAAAGGTAGGCCACCAAGTGAATGGAGTTATTGAACTCTGATGCGGAAAGCTAAGTCAATTATATTTAGCGGTTTTTAACAGAAAATCTGCCAGAGTAGTTTATAGAATTTTACTACCGAGGTAAAGCCCGCTGCATCATCTCGAAGTTCATTTAATATAAAACCAATGGTCTTTTTCTTCAAGAGACGGTTATATAACATGCCGCATTATTTTCAGCAGTACAAATCTGAGTTGCATGAAGTATTTTTTAGTAAACACTTATTAGCTTGTAAATACTAAGTATGACACAATTGGTTCATTTTTATCCAAATTGGATTATATATATTTAGAACTAAACTATTTACCATATAGAGAAACAAATATATAAGAACTAAGCAATTCTTCGGAGTTGTATTATAATAGATGTGCTGCCAAAAAATCTACTTGTATGGACAAATAAGGAACAAGATCGGACATCACAAGAGCGTAAGACTATTTTATTTGGGTAGAAGTGGGGTTTCCGCCAAGACCACTATCAATTAATTTTCAAGTTACTTCTTAAGGTTGACTTCAAATCAGCCCGGGTCTTTGTTTAACAGTACCCTAAAACTTCAAAACGTAAGTAGCTAGCACCATCATATCATCAGCCCAGGGTCACCCTCGTCAGCTTTTCTATCTCATTAGACAGACTAATTTCCTGCCTAGAAGCGTGCCTCCTCCGAACCTGACTCAAGAGCATCTTCTGCACCGCCCTTTAAATCCCTTATATTTTTTAGTAGCTTCCTTGTAGCTATCTCCGGCATTATTGACGTTAGAAACATGATGCGGTCAATATATTAGGAATTTTTCGACGATACGAAATATTTCTAGCTTCGTTATTCTAAATCTTCGACAGTATCGTTAACGCAGTTAAGTTCTACACTTCTATCAATGAAAGTCATCCTGTCTTAAATAAACAAGGCCCTTGTACTTCAACTAAAAGCAAACATAGAAGGTACACAATTGTATCTATAGACCATATAGATTGATTTAAGCCTCCAAAGACATAGGTTTTATAATTCTGAAGGGGAAGAGGTTGTTGAACAGAGGGTGTGGTAGCTTACTTACTTTACCTTCCAGTTTTTGACACGGTGTAGTTCAGGTTTGAACGCGGGCATAGACACCTTTCGTTTCATGTTCATAGAAGCCAGGTTTCTGATGGAATATCAAATGGCGATACCTGACATAACACTGGAAACATAGGAGGCTAAACAAAGATCAATCGGGCAGAGATCAGAAATATTGCTAAATCGTTCAGTTAATATTGTTTGCTTGTCCGAAAGCGCACTTAAACAGAGGAAAAGCTTAGCAATTATCTCAATAGTTTATTAGCGCATAATGCTGCAAGAAAATAGTTGTAATGGAAGCAGAAACATAGGGTGATAACATGCTAGTGCAAGTATTTTCACAGCAGAGACACCTGGCGGGCAATTATTGCTATGATGTTTAATACACGGCAAATCGTACTGTCTTCAGATGTACGTCTCATTTGGTTGGTAAAACCTCACTGTCAGATCTGCTACCAAATAATTAATGTCGTAACCAGATTGCCTGTAAACTTATCTGCTTGTTCTACTGGCATTTCTTTTACCTTCCGTTGATTATAGCCTCTGTTGTATAGAAATCTAGATCCATTCCTACCATCATTATCTCACAGTTGTTAATGAAATTATCACTGAACTAAAATGGCTTCTTAAATACTATGACAATTACAATATACTGCTATGCTTAGTTCTACTAAAACTGTCTTTATATTCGCGCTTTGTTGACCATGGTTAACTGAGTTTGTTATAGACTGAGTTCGATTTAGCGGAGAATACAGATATAGTTAACGTTCATTTTTTTTCTTATGCTCGCAGGGATGGCTCGGAAGTACCGATGATCGGCTGTATCTTACCAGAATTTGGGAAACCGACAAAGTAAGAGCAAATCCAGAACTAAACAAGGTTAATTGAAAATATCAGCCCTACTGCATTCGCCTGTTCAGACAGGCAGCGCTGAGGTTGTCTGAAGTAGCAGTGATGGCAAAGTTTTTATTGCTGCGGCCGAAGAACCTCTGTGTCTGCCTGATCCTTCTTGCTCTGGCCACACTTGTCCTCATCTTTCAGTATCAGGTACGTTGTTATACTTGTATTGAAAGTCAAATCATTTCTCACAAATAAAAAGAGTAAGTTGTACTGCGTCATTGGATCCTTATCGAAATATACAGACAACAATTGTCTTCCGAGACTATTGGCACCATTGATGTTTGTTTATCTAACATTTAGAGGTGTTTAAAATCTTCAAAATATGAAATAATCACTCATAGAAGCCACTTTTGCGAATGGAATAATTGATCGAGAATGTCGAACTTCAATGATTTTAGCTTAGTTTGCTAAAAGGAAAATGCAATCCGTTTCGTTGTCACGCTAAAATAATACTTTGTCTTAATTTTTAAGCCCCTTGAAAGCAGCGTAGCGTTATGGAAGAAAATTAGATTAATTTGAACACCACCAGTTTCTTCTGCGATTCGTCAAATAATCTATCCAAGACCATATGGCGCACATCTTGGAAAAGTGGTCACAGTTTCTTCAGTTGTTCCCCTACTTCCAGTCCACATTTAATTTACATCTCTATCCACATTTAATCGACAAGGATATGCCGGAAGGAGCTAGCGCTTTTGCCTAATGAACTTTAAACTGAACTAAAGACCTGTTTTACTTGCGCTTAAACTGGGACATCACGGTATGCGCCTTGACATATGTATCCACGAAGAATTATTCGTTTTAAGTTGTGGTAAATTTTTTCACCTATTGATTTTACTATAAAATCTAAAGAAGGCGTAGCTTTTGAGTTTCACTTACTTCAGCGCTCATCTAAGTTAATTTTATTATTTTTCAAAAAAGTGAAAGGGCGAACTTTTTTGAAACACTGAACTGTTAGAGAAAACAATCATCTGTCAATGTTTGTTTGCGCCTGAAATATTGAAAAATAAACCTTGTCACAAAAAAGTTCCCTGCCGGAAGTTATTTTTAGCAATGGATTGAAACTGTATATTTATTAAACGATTTAGTGCGTGGCATTTCCATGTACGATTAGAGGTTTATGCATTGGGTGATGGCAACGGTATGAGGTTTTTTAAGCTAGGTGGCTTTAAAATCACATATGTCAAGTAATATTAGTCGCGTTGAGTCATCGTTCGTATCACGTGGAAAGCGAGATTTGACGGTAATAGATGTCCCGAAATGTCCATTGTTCGAATGGCTTTTTGTCAGATTCGATAGGGCGCTTTTGAATATGAGTAAAATATCTCTGAAAATTCGCTATATTAGACATTGATGTTGCCCATGCCCATGAAAGAGTTTGTGCTCTTTGTGGTCAAGCCACACTATCGGAACGAACGGTCTAAAGGTAGCTCTGTTGTTTCTGTTTTGCAAACTTCAATGTGAAAGATGCTCCTCGTTCTGGTCGATTAGCTACGAAAAAAAGTGTATGAAACTATTTTGAAAGTCAATAGACCAACACGTGAATAGTCACGGTATCGCCACGGAGCTAAACCTCTACCGCTGAAAAACTTTGAACGATATGAGGACAGCTGGCTGCAAAGGAACTCGATGTTTGGGTGTTTCATGAATTGACGCGAAGTAATTTCCTCGATCATATTTCTGTTTGCATAAACGTAACGAAATCGAGCCATTTCTAAAGCACGTAATTACGGGTGATGAAAAATAGATCACGTGCGACGGTAGCGTGCTTCACGATCTGGGCAATGCCCGGACTGACGCTAGAGAAGCTATGTTATGTGTTTAGCGAGATTAGAAGTAAGTCGTGCATTACGAGTTGGTGTCACCTAGCAAAACGATTGATTTGAACCTCTACAGCCGATAACTAACAAGATTAGAACAAGCCATAGAACGGAATCGACCGAAGTAGTGGTCAGAAGGGGTCCCGTCTTCCACTACGACAGTGCCAGCCCACATACATTTTACCTACCTGGCGAAATTTGAGAGAACTTGGGTGGGAAATTTTAATGCGTCCGCCGTATAACTGCAACGTTCATCATCAGTGTATCTTCTGTTTGGGTCTCTGCAAAACTCCCAAAATGATGCTACATTAGTTTTGATAAAAAAAAAAGGCAAAAATTGCGCGTCATAATTTTTCGCCACAGATGTTTCACAGTTATGGGCTCGTGATATTGCCAGAAAAATGGTAGGTTATTAGAGCATATTCTGTTATATAAAGATTTTCGAAATATAAAAATGTTTGCTTAGATTATGGCTTGAGGATCGTCAATACTTACTTAAGAACCTAACATTTTGTAGCTTTACTTTTCACTGAGTTTGTCTTACAAAATAACTGTTGTCTTTTGACTTTCGCTTGCATCTAAAGATAAACCCTACTTAAAACCTTTGTTTTACAGTGATGTATATGTATATATATATATTAGGATCAAACATAGTATAACAATAGGATAACACTAAACTTAAATGTATATATGTCTATGTATCATGCATTCAGCAAAATGGTACCCAGGGAACAATAAGGTCTCGGCCAGTCGCACCAATAGAGCGCTTAGCAGTAGACAAGTCGGCTGGTTCAGTGGAACCTGTCTCGCTGACCAATGAAGCTGCGTCCATAGACGACAATGGTAAACGGTAAGGCCTGTGTAAATCGATGAAAATTGGGATAACGGGACATGATCCTTTAGATTTACTTATCGACGTGCTCTTCACGCAATGCGTTTGATCTGTATGTTTTTGCTGGACATTTGGACGTGATCATCAAAAGCATGTCTGAAATATCATATAAAGCAACTCACCACATAATTACAACGGTTTTTCCTTTACTATATCTAGTTAAGTGATATTGAAACGATGCGAAATATAAAGTTCACGCTTGAAGTGTAATCAATATTATTATGAAGAAATTAGCGGCTTTTCTCGATGCGTTAGTAGACAAGTCGGTGTTAATTAAACAGCGCGAAACTGATGATTCTGTTATGTATAACTAGAAAAAAGGAGCAACAGAATTTGATTCTGGAAGCACCGTTGAAGAGAGAAGAGACACCTCACAGGAGCAGTAATGGAGACAGACAGCAGCCAGCCACGAGGTGAGTTTTTGTAGAGAGGTATGGTTTAAAAGGGAAAATTTAGTACCTGTGTTGAAGCATATCATAATTCGGTTTATGCCGAAGGGCTTATCTGGAACACGAGAAACATCCCACACGAGGTCAGAGTAATAGCTTACGATGAGATCCGCTATATGCCGCTTATCGAGGTACACCTTGTAATTCCTTCGTTATTTGATAAATTCATCCACCATTAAAATATTCATTTATTAGGTATTTTTGCCAAGAAAAACCCGTACATGCTATCAGCAGTTCGTGCGTAATATATCATGTAATGCTTTTTTATTGGCTCCATATCTTGAGTACCTAATACCTTAAATAAATAAATAAAATCAATAGTAATAACAATGGAATTGCAACAGTAAAGTCAAGCTAGGCAATATAAGTAGTTTAGTAAAGCTAGTTGATATATTTTTAACTAATAAAGTGAAGTATTCGCGTAAGGAAGTTCACAAATTTCATTGATATGTTTCTTTTATTATAAACTGTTTGATTCGAGATACAACTTAAGAAGATTGTTATAGGAGACTCACAGTTCACCCGTAATCGCATATTTATGCTAGCCACAGTACCGTAGGAACAGAAAGACTGCAATAAGGATGCGCAGTCGCAGCGATAGTTTGAATTAAAAAAGGCTAGAACACCATAAGGAAAACGCCTTTTTTTTTACAGATTTTAACAGAAAACATTTTTGTTAATAGTTGCATAGTTATACGTTAAGAACAATAGGATACATGATGTTAATAACCAATAAGATACATGATAACAAGCCCCAGTATTCTTTTTAGACTTATTTATTAATATACTTTAGGTACCTATAATCGAGAGCAGTACATATGTTTAGTCTTGTATCAACTAAAATGATTTATGCGGTATTACAAACATATCGCTATCCGACTGCTAGTTAGAAAATAGTCACCAAGTCTTTAGACGCAACGAGTTGGCGGTCGATCGATTTCGCAGAGAACCGATTTTTTTATCTGGGATTTCCGTTCGCAGTTTCAGGTCATGGCTGTTTCAACGAAACAGAGAGGGTGTTGGCAATGGTGAGAAGTTAAATACCTGCCCGGTGACACTGGATAAAAGCTCCGTTGACATTGATACAACAGAAGTTTTCGCTACCAAATTAGACTTCGCGAATGTCGATTCGACCTACTGGAGCGCCAACTGGGAACGACGGTGGAACGAACGGAGACTCGACGTCAACAATACATCACCGCTTAAGGTGTATATAGCTATAGTTAAACCCTAAATAAAATTATACAGTCAAATCCAAAACCCAACGCACCAAAGCACCCTGACTCTGCAATGCTTAGCGGCGTATTTCCGGCAGTAACTAATGTGCCTAAATATACTAAATACATGAATCAATGTCTTTACAAATTAAGTTGATAACTGAATATAATCTAATAATTATACGATGACTAAGTGCGGCCTCATAAAATAGCCTTCATGGACAGCTAAGTAAAACACTATCTGAAGCCAAAAGCTATCTCTATATAGGCCGATTTCTATGTTGACTGCACATCCAGCAACAAGTTCGGAGATCACGGAAAGCTGCTAATTTGATGGGTAGGTATACCACGTAAACGAAATACCTTTTCCACGACATCGCTTGCCATAGGCATCAAATTGAATGACCTTGTTTCACTTATTTCAGGTGTTTGTCCTGCCCCATTCGCACAATGATCCCGGTTGGCTTAAAACATTTGATATGTACTTTCAACAGCAGACATCACATATCCTCAACAATTCTGTCAACTTCCTCGACAATCACAGGGACTTTCGTTTCGTCTGGTCAGAGATGTCGTTCTTTGCTCGCTGGTGGCAAACGTTGGACAGACATCCGCATTTACGACAAAAGGTAATACGTAGAATTCCTTATATCCTCATTCTGTTTTTTTACCTTACTATCGCATTTATTTTACAGGTACGCAATTGTGTCACTCTTCGTTTAATGGCTTTAAGAGGTGGTTAATTCAAATATATCTCTTTACAACGTTACTTTTTTCATAGCATTCATTTAAGCCGATGAAGTCGCTCTCTGTCAAGCTGCAATTTACCTTCGCAGTAACCGTGTACTTTGTGGTATTATATTGGTTATTGCAGGTAATAGAGCTAGTGTATGGAGGACAGCTAGAAATTCTCACTGGTGGATGGGTGATGACCGATGAGGCTGGCGTGCACTTGTATTCAATGTTTGATCAACTCATCGAGGGACATCAGTGGATTAAACATCATCTCGGAGACAAGGCACTTCCGCGGAACGGATGGTCAATAGACCCATTTGGTCATGGCAATGCTGTTCCCTATTTACTACGCCGTTCTGGAATTCATAACACGTTTATCCAGCGTACACACTACGCTTGGAAAAGGTTTTTACCATTCTGTCTTTCACATTGTTGCTATATAATAAATAAGCTTTTCCCAAAGGTGGCTTATGTGACACTGCGTGAGTCATTTTATGTATTTCTTGTTCCCACGTACGCTAATTCCAGGTGGCTGGCCGATAGGCAGCAACTAGAATTCATATGGCAGACAAGTTTTACCCGTTCGGATAGCCGATCTAATAGAAGCAAATTAAAAGACCAAATCGTGTGTCATATGGCACCCTTCGATCTCTACTCGATCAAACATACATGCGGACCCGATACAAGCGTAAGTATTTATAGCGTCATACGTAAATTAGGCACGGACAGTTGCATAGCGTTTGACTGTACCAAAAGAAAAGATTATTGATCTTTGATTGACCTTTCAGCCTGAAGTGTCACAGCTTGTTGCTTTTTAGTCCTTCTGGAAAAGTGTACCTATTTCGCCGCAATACGTGCAGTTTCATAAAAATTATTCACCATCGGAAATCTCATAGGAAATTAGTAGTTGCGGTCATACTTGCCTATGCGAATAGGTTGTTGTTTTTATAGGGGAAATAAATATTTGCTCACATTTCAGGTATGCCTTCGATATGATTTCCGGCGTATGCTTGGCGAACATTCTGAGTCACGCTCTGAGCCCGTGTCGGCGGCGAACATCCATCAGCTTGCCGTCGACTTGATCGAGCAATACTCAAAACTGGGCTCCCTCTACACACACAACATCGCGCTCGTGCTGCTCGGAGATGACTTTCGTTATGACAGACGACAAGAGTGGGAACAGCAGTACAACAATTACCGACAGTTGTTTAATTATATAAATGAAAATCCGAAGATTTTCAGCAGCGCTCACATCGAATTTGGATCGCTGGCCGACTACTGGAATGCGGTAGGAGTCGATGCATAAAATAGGAGTGGACTATCGGCAACACAAAAATGACAGGCGTCATAGCAAATACAGCATAGTAAATTGTGCTTATGTTGAATTGTTACAGGTACACCGTCGGCAAAAAACCTTTCCCACTTTGTCCGGTGATTTTATGCCATACGGAGATATCTACACCGAAGGTCAAGCGAACTATTGGACGGGTTATTTTACAACCCGACCGTTTGCGAAACAATTAGCACGGGAACTGCAGCACTACCTTCGAACCGCAGAGATCATCTACTCGCTTGGCAGGTATGTGCTCTGTATGCATTTCTTTGCAAAAGACAACTGCTGCACAGCAAATATAGTTACACTCGTCTGCCCTTCCAGTTGGAGAATTGTAACAATGTATTGCACAATATCCGTATTGCAGGCACCATCTTTTAGGAACTGGCGGCCACGAGCAATTACGATCTCGCATTGACGCCGACTACATGCTTCTAAATAATGCGCGACAACAGATGGGCATTTTCCAGGTATTTTGAGAGCTGCTTGGGGAGTGTCTGAGGGCACTTGGCATTTGATGTACAACGGCAGTAGCTAAAGGTCTTGCCAAGTTACGTGCGTGGCTATGTTAAGCAACTCCAGTAACACTTTCTCTTAAGAATGTGTGCGTGCATATATCAGCCTTTCTTAATATATACTTGTGCCGTAGAAAGGAAGCTATGTACACTTTGTTCATCAAAACCGGATGACAGGATCGAGTGATGAATTCCTAGTAAGTTCACCAACTTCTAGCATGGTCCTTTATTCATCGTTTTACCTTTTTTTTTAAATTGCAGCATCATGATGCAGTGACAGGTACCTCGAAGGCTCACGTTATGAGAGACTATCGCCAACGGTTATTCCAAGGCATAGAGGACACCCAATCGGTAATCGCTCACGTTATGCAGTACATACAATCGAAGGCCAAGCCTGTATATCAGCCTTACTCAGGACAAGACACATACAATGACCGTTACCACCAGCAAGGCCAGATGCCCTTTACAACATACTTGCAACTGTCCGAAAAGAGAACTTCACTTGACGCTCTTCCCGTACGTATACCTTTGAACCTTAACGCCCATTTTTGGAACGCAGACAGTTCGGACTACCCAGCAAAGGCGCGGCGACCTGCGAAAGTAGTCGTATTCAACAGTCATGCGTTTGTCGTTCAAGAAGCGATTCGTATACATGTAACGGATTCGGTGCAAAAGGTGCTTGGGCCTGAAGGGCATGAGCTGGAGTTCCAGTTAAATCCTGTCTGGGGGTACTCTGCCGAACTGCCTACCGGTCTTTACGAACTCTTGTTTATCGCTAAATTAGCGCCTCTTTCAACAACAACGTTCGAGGTAAATGGCACGTCGCTCACAATAATGCTAACTTCCGTGTTATTGTTGTTGTGGCAACGCAAATCCATCAAGTTTTTTTTTACGTCAGTTATTCAGAAAACCTTAAATAATAAAAAAAAAACCTTAATAGGAAAACTTCCATTTATCAATAAGCTACAGAAGAAAAGGTTCTAGGTAGCAGAGAGACGTTTTAAAAAAGCTTACCTATAGTATCATCATGGTTATCTACTCGCGCTCAGTTCGTTTAAATCCCAGTTTACTTTGTAGCCTTCCGCGTGCAAGAAAATGGAAAACAAAAATCAGCATTTTCTCCATGTATTACTTTCTTTTGAAAACACATTAACGCATATTGCACTTGCAGGACATATTAGTAACCAAGTGCACACTTCAGAAGTGGTGCATTTTCCTAAAAAAGAGACTTTAAAGTTTGAGTTCGAAGCAGATCAGAATGAACGGAGCTCTTTAGACAAGGATAGTTCTGCATATTTGCTATGCAGACGTTAATGCAGGCCAAAGGGTCTCGTCTGCCCAAAATTATTGCTTCATTCATTGCCTGTAAAACATAATAAGTAAACACTCAACTGTTTAGATAGTATAAAATGTCGCACATCAAACGAAAGCCACTGCTTTGCAATAGGAACATAAGCATCCCTCTGTACAATATTGAAAGAGCTGTGATTTAAGAGCCGGGCTACTTAATTAGCTTTACTGATGATTACTTTCAGGTGATTGGGCAAACATTGGGTGAAAGGTCTGCTACGCCAGCGACCAGTATAAAGGTGTTCATGTCAGATTCGTGGGAGTCGAATTCGCCACCTGTAGCAAAGCCCACCCTGTCGAATGGGCATGTTTTCAACTTCGAAACAAGCAACGATGAAGATATCACAATGATTAACGAGAATGTTCATGTGGTATTTAGTCGATCAACGGGCCTTCTCAAAAGCATCAATGGTCGAGACGTATCGATGGCGTTTGGAGCATACCGGTCAGCTGACTTCCACAGTGGGGCGTACCTTTTCCGTCCTGACTTGAAGGAACCGCGACAAAATGTTACAGGACGATTTCCCGTTATTCGACTGGTACGCGGCCCACTTATGAGTGAAGTAATCGTTGTTTACCCGAACACAGTGATGCAACGCTATCGAGTGTACCACAAAAAGAGTTCCGTAGGCGCCGCCCTGACCGCAGGCATTGAACTTGAGACTAGTTTCGATCTCTCTGTCCGACGCGAGTATTTTGAAATGTACATGACACTGCAGTCAGATCTTTCATCCGGTCAAGAATTCTTTACCGATTCGGGGGGCTTTGAGACTCTGCGTCGACTTCGCAATGACCTGTTGTCCGTTGAGGCAAATTACTATCCAATGACGGAAGCCGTTTTTATTCAGGACGAAGGTTCTCGACTCACACTGCTCGCCGATCATGCGCACGGAGTCACCTCGACTAAGCCAGGTCGCCTTGAAATTATGCTCGACCGCAAGTTACGCTTCGACGATGCTCGAGGCCTCTCTGAGGGTGTGTCGGACAACCTTCACACACGGTCACGATTTTGGTTGCTCATGGAGACCCGAAAACAAGATCAACAACCTTCAGTAAATAAGTCCGCCTCAAATAAACGTCAAGTGCCTCTGCTGAGCCGCACCGCTCACCGCCTCGCTATCATGTTAAACTTCCCGCCGGTTGTAATGCAGAGTCGACCAAATGCACTTCCACGTGACCTTCACACCGAGGTGAGTTTCCTGTTGGAGCCTGCGGACTGCGATACGTACTTGCTTGCAATGCGCACCCTTCCATCGGAAGTAAATAATGGAGCTAGCTACCACCTGCCATCGTTAGATCGAACTCTGTTAGTACTGCATAATCGCGCTCCAGACTGCTCTATTAGGACTTCGCCAGATTTTCGGAACTGTGAGATGTCAATGGCAGGCACAGCAAAAAGGCGCCGAGGTTTAGCCTTTACTAATGTTACCGTTTTATCAATTCGTAAAACTAGTCTCACAGGAACCATGGATGGAGAGTATATTTTGCCCGAAGATATTCAAGTGGAACCGCATGAACTTGAGAGTTTCATCGTAAGTTTTGCCAGTTCAGCTAATAAGAACAACAGTAGTAAAAACGATAGGGAGAGCATCATTGATTTCGAGACACAAACAACAGGACCATTGTTGTCTGGCTACAAGCAATTTAAGTCAGCTGGTGTAAATACAACGCTTATCGGAAAGAGGGAGTCAACGTAGGTATAGCTTCAGTTCAACATATAAAATGAAATCAGGGTGGAATATTTTTAGGGGAACATCCCCGAATTTGCTTCCTATTGTAAGATCAGATCTATTATAACCGTGGTCTCTTGTAATCTATATAGAATTCGTATGTTAATTTAAGTTGTGTTTAAGGTTTAAAACAACCCGCAGTAGTCAAAAATAGAACATGTATTGAACACAGAGTAGTCTAGAAACTAAGGGAATAAGGCCCTATTAATAGGTGACACCACAGTAACTACATACATAGGATTAGATCATATTGACTATACAATATGATTTGATGTTTGCGATATCGTTGTGTGTGTAACCAAGGTGTATATAATGGATCATTACTAGGTCCACCCAACGGGAAATAAGACTTCGAACTTTTTAGGTTCTTTCAATTCTGGATCTCTGTGGTTAGTGCAACTAAATATTCCTACACACATATCAGAGATCTATCTTACTATACGGATGTATTGATTATAGCACGTCTTATCGTTTTTGGCAGGATGTGTTTAAATGCTCGTACTTCAGTAGCGAAATCTATGTGGTACGTGTAGAAATACAGGTTGTACCGAGAATTTGCAGTTTTATACCATAAGGAAATAATGAATATTCGGCAAGATCCTCCTTTTGAGCTCGTCATGAACTACTTGGCATCAATTGAAATGTTTTTCCGCTATTTTACCTTCTGTTAGCTGGACTAGATCAACTTACATATTATTGGTCTGTACTAGAAAAAATATCTAAGACTGACAAATATACGAAATATCAGGAAGGTAGGGTAATAAAAATGATCTACTCTAACCTCGGCCAAAAGCTGCGTAGCTAAATTCCAATTGTGATCTTTTAAAATATTAAAGGATTTTGCTTCAAGTTTAACAACTTGATGATTCAATGCCATTCGATACAGGAACTTGCTTACATAATTTATAGTTGATTCGCTCCAAAGGTGCCTATTAGGAGAAAGCACAATGCGACGCTTTACTTGCCTATCTGGCCATAACTTCCGAAACGCATGTTACTTATATTTTAGTGGATTTATCGATAACCCTGAAGGTTAACTATTCGGTTCTAGCAAGTATTTGTGCAGATCGAATCGCCGGTAAGCAATCCAGGGCTTTCGTTTAGCAAGTAACAAAGAACAGGTTGTCTACGCATGAGCGGAGCCAAACTGATCTATAAGAGTAACTAAAAGCCGGAGAACGTACATTCGACTAACGAATATTTAAAGCAACGCTTCTAAAATCGAATTAAATTGCCTTTTTCAAAGACTGATTTGTAGGACGGATGCAAGATGAGTAACAGGGGTCCGCCAAGTCTCATCTGTTAGTCTTAACTCGTCCACAATATTAAGGCAGCCATATTGCTATCTCATGATCGTACGAGTAGGGACGCGTTATGTGCAAACCCAAATAGCGATTTCAACGTTTGCAGATAACGTATTTTGCGTCAGTTCGATTCGACATAGGTCAGGAACGATTAGACCATTGGTGCGTCGGGAAGTTAGTTCAGCTGAGTTAAAAAGTTGAAGTTGATCACAGCGTGCTCATAGATCAACCAGCAACTAATGTTGTAAGAGCATCACCACGACAGACGACTACTCTATGATTGAGCTTTTCATGTTTAGGAAACGTTGTTAATACTTAAACTAGCGACACCGATGTATAACGATTATAATCATTCCCAATTTTGTGATGCGTCAACAATATAAAAACAAACGGTTCTACCACTAATTTAAGTGAAGAACAATTACGCCGACACGATTTTACCTATTGAAGACACACACACACACATATATATATATATATATATATAACAACATTGTACATAAGCAGCACAAGAACTAACAACATTGCATTTGCGTTCGGCCAACTACTAGCAGTGATGTGTTTGTGAACTGCGGCTGAATATTGGTAATCTCGAACGGTTTAGCATGATATATTCAATGTGATAACAAATAGCTATAACTGTACAAATTACACGCATATTTCATGACAATAATAATTCTATTTTATTACAGTTACGATGAATTACGAAGAGTGAAGAAAAAAAAAACAGACGGTCTAAAAAAGGTAAAATTTCAAAACGCATTTTATACGTTTGAAATATTTACCTTTTTGTTTATTCATCAGGTTATTTTGCTTGTTGTATATCACCTAGTTTTATTAGTACATGCGTATCTTTTTTGCGAATTCTTACTCGTGCGTTATAATCTGTCTATATTTTGGTCTCGTCTCAATGTTGATAGTCACCTAGCAGGTCGCCAAAAAATTCAAACACGATGTACTACGAAAATGAAGCTTACCTTGGCACAGTGACCCCTTCTAGAAGGGTTCTTGTCAATATTTCTACCCGTTTTCAAAAAGGATGGTTTACAATTTTTGATGACACGATTAAAAGATGGCGTCTGTATATGGATAGAATAGGAAAACACGAGCTGTGGAACAATGTTTCCAGACCACAAATGAACACTAATGTAATTCGTCTGCGTTGATCCGCGTATCAGAAGCTGTTACTTCACGTCTATAGCTTTGAAGGTATAGAATAATTGGGAGAAGCTTTAAACTAAATACGAATAATGTCAGATGCTGGCAGCAAGTACGTTTATAGAACGAAGTAAATGATCCTTATTATGTAGGGGGTTAAGGGTGAATATTAGAAAAACGACTTCCAGCTATAAATTCTATACACAGCGGCTTTATTGCAGTTCGATTGACAGATCTTTGCAAGAGAAGTTTAGTTCTTTTACTTGGTAAGATCTCGCAACAAGTGTTCTAAAAAAGATTCTAGAAGAAGTTGTCGCAGCAGTCTGTTCGTCTATGCTTAATCGAGAGTAACGCGATCGCTCAGCTTCTGCGAACACGAGACTGGAACCAATTTGTCGCTACGACAGACGACCACAGCAGCGAACATAGATTTGTTTTGTTCACTCAAGGTATACTAGGATGCACTTTATTATAGTGTTCTTTAACTTCCCGAAACTGTATTTCCTAATAGTTGTATAACGGGACCCAAGTGTAACACTCGTTCTTACTGATGTTAATAACACAAAAAAAAAAGATGTTCGCGGTACTGAACCGCTATTCGGCCTACTTCGGCGGTCGTTCTTAAAAGAGAATCTCTTTTTTTATTTTTCCTTTGAGTTCTATTGAAAAGTTGTGAAGACATTCGGCCAGGAAGCCTTCAGCGAGGCCACAGTATAATAATGGCGCAATCGAATTAGGAGATCGAAGGGCACAAAGCAGGCAACTGTATTTTAGGATCTCAACCGGAGAACTAAGTTGCTGTGATCACTGAAACCTATTGTCTAGAGGTTCCAGGCGGATCTTTCGCAGATTCCAGTTGCCGAAATGTCGTTCCACGCGTATTTCCATGTGTTGTACAATAAAGCCATTGTTCGATATTCTTCTTCGTCTTCAACATTTTCATTCTAACATGATGACACGTCCTTCGAGGAATCCTACATTACGTAGAGCCGATAGGAAACGTGTTTTCTATGCCGTTGTGTTTCGATGGTCATAGCAACTTATTCACTCGTTTCTCCGTTCAAGGACCTAAGGTCCAATGAGCCCCTTTATTGTGTAATTTTCATGCTTGATATGTTTGCACCAATAATCGTAAATAACTGTCGTTTTGTTAAAAGCATCTTTTTCCAACATTAAGTTGATATTCACCGAAAGCTGAATGGTATAGCAGGTTTGATCAAACCTTGTTTTTGGGCTTTAACGCACGATCCTGCATCTTTGTTGTACCTTAGATATTTTCATAAACAGACAATAAATGATTAAAATATTATTGGTCAGCAGCCGGTTTACGAATAACGGTCCATTCCTTTGCAAATAGCTTAAGGCTAATATGGGTCAAGGTTATCGAGTAATTCTAATTTTCGAGAAAATATATTCATATAGATATAGCGTTGTTTTAGGAACATCGAGACTTTAAAGAAATAAAATCCTTTAAAGGCCAGAATAAAGGCCTTAAAATCCGTTTAGGCCGGAAAGTGTTCATTGTGCAGCTGCATGCTTGCCACTTACCAATTTTTGCCGTCAAAGCAGAGTGCGTCAGTTCAAAAGAGCAAGATTTTTCTTTAGCTAATTTTTATACGCAGCTTTTGCATAATCTGTTTGTAACTTTAGTCATGAACAAGACATACAGATAGATATGTTGAGAAGTATCGCATAACTTAGATTTTTCTTATTTCGTTTAGGTTCTAAGAAAAGATGGTAAACTTAAATTATTATTAAACTAGACGCTAGTCGTTGTTTTCGTTTGGTCTGTGTATCTTCTAAGTACCTTTCAGCGAAATAAAAACTTACATTCCTAATTCTGTTTTTATTTGGTAATTACTTCCGTATTATGGACAACTGAACAGAACATTCATATGACATTTGTACATCATCATACGAAAGTAATCTATTTTAGACTGTTCTATAAAGTAAAGTTTACCTTAACTACTTGCGTAAAACATGCCTTAGACCTTTTTTCAGAGGCCATATACAATCGAGCTAGATTGGTCGTTTTTCGTTCTCATTGAGCATAATATTAATAAGGAACGTCTTGTGACAGATGTCGGTTTTTCAATTCATATCCACGTTTTATATCTTATCATTGAAGCCACTGGCGCAGAGGGACCAACTCGAAAGGATGCGGTCCGCCATATAAAAACCTTGAGTATAATCGGAGTAGTATAATTCTGGAACCTTTCACATATAGAAGCGTGTTCTCTCTGTACTCTACTTCTGAAAGAGTTCGCGTCAAATGTCAAAAGGAGAGCCGTGACCTGAAACTGTGACAGCGCGTTTCAGTGACTGTATATTGATAAGCAGACTTCATTTTAGTGCAGCGCAGAAATCAGACTGGGGTCTCCATATTACCTGTTCAGTGGGCTCAATCTCAGGCATAGACGGGATGAGATTCTACCAGCTCCGAGTCAAGTTGCTCAGAGTGACCGCTCTACGAATCGGGTTATCTAGACAAGCGGTGTACATTGCCTTACGATGCTTAAATCGACGTGAAGCTCTGTGTTCAAATTACGTGGAGTTAGAAATTTTTAGATTTTGTGCCTATCAAATGTATAGCGTAACTGACCGCATGATTTCGAATCTGTGCTCAGACTATGCTGTGATGCAAGCTATTAGGCTTTATGCTGGGAAAGAGGGCTACATGAACCAACGGCAAAACAAACGCGAGGCAAATTAGCGGATGCATCTATTATCTCCCTATAAACTTGAGACTAATACTTACAGCATATTTTCTCTGAATCAAACACTCGATATTTGTCGTTCCATCGCAACCGGTGCTTCCCAACGTCATTTTTTCTTGTTCTTGTAATACACTTCGATTGAATTCAAGAGCCCCTAGCGAATCCCCGGGGTTAAAATACTGTCATATAAAAGTTATACATCATTTTAAAATTTAAAACCCCCACTACAATTTCTCACTATTACCGGCTGGTCAGGTTAGAGATGACCAAAAGGTGTTCTACGCGGAACCGCTTTCTCATTATCATATCCAGACTTGATGTAGGAGAATGCTAAATACTCCACTCCTATTGAAATAGTTATCAGTTTTCTGTTATAGCTGCTAAATTAAGCCCTGATCCTGACTCTACCGTGTCCGGTAAAGGCAGCATTCTTTTTTAATTTTCAACTTCTTTCCGACGGATATGATCAAACTATGTAAATACCTTAAAACTGAGTGCAAAAACTTCTCCGCTTTTGTGCTTATTCAACGTCTAACAGAGCTAAAACAACACTTCCTGGCTCTAGTTTCGGACTTATGCAAGGCATCCCGATAGCGTTGAAAACCCGCCAGTTGGCTTTGAACAAAGGAATCAAGCCTGACGGATACGAAAGGATTTTTAGACATGCAAGAAAAGAGGTCTAAACTGTGAAACGTATGATTATTATTACACAGTTTTAACGCGACTGAGCGGTAGCAGATGACGCTGGCGAGATCAGGACACTCCGCCATATTAGCGTGGTAAAGTTGCAATGGATCGTATACTATAATATAACCTAAAAGTAAGTTAACGGCTAGGGCTATATAAGCACAGAAGGAGTGGCTGTGAAAAACTTGCTCTGGCCGCTCACCAACACGGCTAAGTTAAATAAGTATATATAAAGGATAAAAACACTTAAATGTCCTGCGGTGCAGTGCTATCTTTGCGAAAACCGGTATTTGGTTCTCACATTTCACTGCAATAATAAGGGCTTCTATAAGTTGAATGGATTATATGTAATGGAAATTTTCACCACACTTTCATTAGTTCGAGGGTACTATCTGAAATAAAAATAATAATCTAGGAACGAACGCGTGAATTAATATTCAGTGATGCTTTCTCCTTATATGTACCAATTGGGGAAGTTATTCTGTTGTGTTACGAGCGTTCTGATTGTGTTTATTCTTCCTATACTATACATCGAGTAATAATGGCCATTATAGCTATCCTGAACTGATAGACGTTTCGTAAGTTCCGATTCACCCTCTCATTAATAGCTGATTTTTTATTTACAAAAGTTTTCGTAAAATGACAGGAAATAAAATGAGCATGATGAACCATAATTTTCAACATATATTGCAATGTGATTAAAAAAATGTTCGTTTGCGGTTTTTTTTTATTGAGAATGGGATATATTTTTCTAGCGATTCTAATGTTCGATTTATGTGCTGAAGGCGATAATAAACATAACAATGCTTCTCCATTTACGAGCTGAAACAACTATCCCTGTTGGAATAACGCTAGATCAGCGTTCATCAGTTAATGAGTATATGCCCTACTTCTTGGAAAATTTTTCATTCCGTTCGGAGCATCACTAAGGTGGCAATATTGATGTCCCCAAGCGCTGCAGACCGCCTACGTACTTTTTCCCTCTCTTACAGATGTTGGACCGACTCTCTTACATTAGCCCTTTCTCAGCGGGGCATCATCTCATAGACAACCCTCTCCATTGATGGAAGTCCACACGTTACGTTCGATCTTTATGTTTGGTGCTTTTTAAATACTTTCCTTCCGTATTTTGTAGATGTGTTTCGAAGCTGGCCGTACATTTTTCAGATTAGTACACTCGGAGAGAGCTGAAGCTATAGGAAACAAAATTCATCCATTTTCCCAGGTAAGACGTTCCGATAGCGCCGAAACAGTATTGCTGTCTGTTGTGGCAGGCGCAATGAAATTAGTAGAAAAAGAATAGGATCCAACTTGTTCAACTTTTAACAAAGCAAACTGTATCCGTTGTTTGAACGATCACTTTCCTATGGGCCGATGGCAACCGATAGCAATAATGTTTTCCTCAAAATCGATAACGTAGTGAGGAATCTGGTTTTCCCCTTTGTGCCGCAGCGATAGCGAACACCTGTGCTTTAATTCTCATTGTGTTGATATGGCAGGCTGACCCTTGATAATGCTTTTTTTGCGATGCTTGTCCGTTAATAAAATTCTGATCATATTAAATCTATCAACAGTATTCGGTTTCTGATCGGTGAGTTAACTGGCATGTGTAGTGTAATAACTCAGACGAGGTTATATACTTGACTTCCCGCAGCTGAAACATCTTAGTAATATCACCTAGTTGCCATATTATCTCTCATTATACCGCTAGTACAATGGGAAGAGAGGGAAAGAAATGCGGATGGCTCGCGAAATTTCAGCAAGTAACGACTTAACCACGATGGCGTATCATTGACTGGAATAAGGCCATTATAGAAGCATATTAGATCTATTCTGCAAGTTTAGGCTCATGGATTTTTACCGCAAAAAAAATTTTCTGTATTTAGCCATCAAATTGTTGACGATCAAATGGCCGGCGGATTCTATTGGCCTTACTGGTGCATCATTAGATTTGTAAAAAAAAATTATGGTTATGTTTGACTCGAATCACTCATATTTCCCGCAATAATCCCCGCAATGCTTTATATAGCATGTCTATTATAATTCTAAATTATAACTGAGGCTAAGCACTACTTCCGACGGATAAACGTGTAGTCTGCAATGAGAAGCATTGCCACTAGTCTGATCATTTTTGGACTAGTCTACGCGCATACCCTCGATTCTTTATTGCCATTGTTTCATTTCATCACTCTGATTATGGCGAAGAAGGGTTACTTTACCTTACCTATTACGTTTCCGTTCGGTAGCCTCGTTCACTCCATGCAACTAGTCCACATGCAATATAAGTCAACCGTTTTTGTTTCTTTCAGGCATTTCTTAGGGTATTTCTTTACGTCTTACCAAACACAAATTTTTGTCTCTTTGAGATGAAGGTTTGGCCTAGCTCAAAGCTTAGATGAATCCGTCGAAGATAGCCGTTCCTTTTTCTGCCTCTTCTTGACACGGAGACATCACTTCTCGTCACTCGTTGTAGTTACGTGTGTAAACCTGTTATTGTGGGGGAGCGGGGGGGTGTTTTTGGTGCAGGGCCAGATGATCAGGCAGAACGAGCGGCTGTGTTTGTGGCTTGTGCGCTTTACTTGTCTGTGGGCGTCCAAGTTTCTAACGATTGATAAAAAAAACCATACACACAAAATGGTTGATAATAGATAACTGTTGATAGCCGTTGTTTTCAGACAATGAACAAGTAGTTTGTTAGGCGAAGTTAAACTCGGATACACGATACTTGGCTTCTGCCGCCAGTTCGATAATAAATATGAAAAACCTTACTGTGCTATGGTTTTAGCCATGTTTGTTTGTTCTCTTTCTACTTTCTGTTGTCAAAGGAAGTTCCATGCGGCTGAGTATGCAGCGGATGTGTGATGCAAAGCTGTTACAATTGAGTACTTGATAACTTAGCGGAACACGTTTTTCGAAGAACTTTTGGGACCCAGAATCATACTTTGGGATCGAGAATCATAATACGCGATCCGGAACTTCAGCATCATCTAATGCATTTGTTTTTTAACCCGAGTGGCTGGATATGTTGGTGTAATGCTATGTTTTGAACTCTATTTCTTTCTAATTTTTCTCATTAAAACACTCATTTCGACTTTTTCAAAATCGGGAGTAACTCACTAGAAATATACCTGGTTGAGTTCGGCTTGCAATGGTTTTTTTTTTCAAAGTTTCCCTAGTTTAATTAGCCGTCAACTTCTACAACACAAGAAATCCATTCACACACTAACAGTCAACAATAACTCCCAAAGTTTTTAAGAGGGGCTGAAAATCGTTTTAATTGCTGTTAAAAGACGCGGGCCCAATCTATGTTATTCTTTTATACGTGAGGGAGTGTTATGTTCAAATATAAAAAAAGTCACGTGATTATATAGTAATTATCATTTGCATTCAAAATTTGCTTTCCACACAGAAGTGAGGCATGTTTAATACAATGTTAACGCAGTTCCGGGCATAAAACATGAAAAATTCATTTGTTTGTAAGAAGAATTAAAGAAAAGGAGCTATGAAAGAGAAGCTTAACCTTGTCCTCTACAGAGGTCAAAAGCTGCCAAAGTAACTTATTTGGGATATTTCTGCCTTGAACTGCGAAGTTTTCGAACGTGAACTGCCAGATGACAGGCTTCTAAAGACGCTCGTCACCGGTCACAACAAAAAGTGGTGTCTCCGTGTTGATATAAAATCATGAAAGGAATGGGTAGTTGCGAGAGATAAACCTAGAATTAAACCAGATACGTATCTCAAATAGTCGAAAGTTTGCGTTTGGTAGGTCTAGAAAAGAAGAACAAAACGGATTTCTATACAGCATTGTCGTGTCGAACATACAAGGCTATCTCACAAAAAAGACTCAATAGATAATGCAAAGCCATGCGGCAAACCAAATTCGTAATCGTACATGTAACGGTGAAGAGAATCTTCAAAACCCGAGTTGTTCAATACCAGACCTCAAACATTTCAAAAACTCAAGAAATAATCGATTGACAGATGGGAGAGAAATACAAAGAGTGGCGGAGACTACAGAAGAAATTAGTTAGTAAGACACCTTGTTTCTGTTAAGTGAATCGGATCGAATTTTTCTATGTTTTAATCTAATATAACGGACGTGTGTTATAAAACGTTACCACCAACGTTAAAACTCTGAAATGCATCGAATAATCTGAGGATAATTCTGATCCCTTTCAGATTGTAAGAGATCATGCTAAATCTTCTTGACGTCGTTTGGATATTATGCATTGTTCCTGTTTGGGTCACTTATCTCCTACTGACACATTACCCAGATAAGGTACATCTGCTTTGTTGTTTTTGATAACTTCATTACTCATAATGTATTATTTTGAGAGGGTACCATTTGCGCCGACTTGCATTCCGTATTGTCTAAAAGCTAGCAAATGATTCAGAGGCTCATATATTTTGAAAGCACTCTTCTTTAGGATACAAACGCGTTAGAACAATTGCTCTCCGTGGGGTGTTCGGATTAATGCTCGTAGGCTCAAACATAAACGTGGACATACGTTACTCGCACTTATATCATATTTTAATGTTATTATTTCTTATATAAAAGAAAAACGTGATTTTGGCGCACGATCGTGTAGTTAAGCCTAGGCTGGCTATTTGCATGAATTATATTCTATTTAACTGCTTAAAATTGGGTACATTGGGATAGCTATTAAGGCCTTTGCCAGTATGTTTAGCATTAGGCTTTGTGTCCATTATATTTTTTCTTTTGGTAAATCATTCCCTTTTCATTATTCCATATTTCCGCCATATTCATACATCTGTCTCGAAGCCCCAGAGTAGGGTTTTTCAATGGACTAATGGCACGGTATCCAAGATATAAGAAAGCCAATAACAAAATCATAATGGATTTTTTTTGAATGATAATGTTATAACTTGGAACGCTCGCGGATAAACTTTAGCGTAACTGGGAAGCCACTAACTTGCATTTTGTTTCATTACATGCGCTATGAGATTCTTTTTCATTTTTTGACTTTAACGGGCGGAAAGGAGTGGGCGTAAGGTAACTCTGTTGTTCTGAACAAGTGAACTTTCAGTGTAGAAAAAATCTACAGCTGATGAAGGTGTTGTTTGACGTATAAATCAATTTTTCTCTAACTGTAAGCTACCTGTTCTTATTGATCTTATGAGACTGATTGTACACGACTACGGCAGAGGTTCTAACGTGGTACAGCCTCGTTTCCATGGTTGCACTTTGCATACTTCCATTCCTGTTTTGTCCTGCTTTTTCTGAAGTTTCCTAGTTAACGACTCATCCTAACACGCTCACTACTTAAAAGCAAGCCGACTGACTGTTTTTGGCCGAAGTAAGCATCCTAACTGGTTGGATTCGATTAGACTAGGGCAAGGTTAAAAAATTGGACCGTAGACGCATCTTTAGTAATAGACATCTTTTCGTTCCCTAACGCAACAGCTCTAAGGACAAGCACGCTTAAATAGAAAATCGAATACCTATTTCAATCCATCTCGAATTTGCTTAAATAAGAGTACAATGATAATATGTCCAGGCGGTCAGATACTAACAAAATTCTGTTTTTTTCGCAAGCAACGAGGTATTTTTTCAAGCATTCTTAGTTCTTCTACAATTCCTCTACTTTACACTTCGTAGATATAATTACGTTGATCCAAGGATCAGGGTTGCTTTTAACTATATCTAAACCGTATTCGATATGTAGCCTGGGAACTATTCGTTACCCTATACCTTATATGAGATTTATCATGAGGAAACCTATCAGGAAAAGCGTTTCACTAATTGATAATGTAGAATTTCGAAAATAAAGACGAACGGGCTATCGTGAAACCTTTGTAGGCTTATGATGGTAACAATATTTTAGTACGACCATAGAAGTTTATGCGACGAAACAAAGTAAAATCAAATAGTTTTCATGATCTCTTTTTTGAGATGGTCAGTCTAGCGAAGATGTACGTGTACCGGATCTGTAACAGGGTTGAAATTTATCCAAAAGAAAAGCTCAACAGTTATTTTTTAATAAATCCTTTAAGACTATTTAGTAACTGGTGTCACCGAATCATCTAGTATGCAATTATACTCGACAAGCAATTTTCGAGTAAATTATCTGAGATAAGTTACTGAATAACTTGCGTACTTAATGTCAGTTTTGCTTATTACCTTTGTTCTTTCAGTCTGCTTATGATCATATATTGCATAGAGTTAGATGAATCGAAATCGATAAAGTTCTAAAAGGAATTAAAAAGCAAATCACACATTAATTATAGAAAAGTTACTATAATTTAAAAACAAACTCTCCCCTAGAAAGCGGCTAGATAAGAAAAATAGCATGAAATATGAAAAAGGAGACTACAAAAATGACGTTTTCAAGTCATTGAAAAACCGAAAACGTAAACACCGTATCACCCAGATTAACAGATAGATGCTCTAATAAACAGACTTCCAAGGTTTGTGGAAAATTCGAATATAATTGCGTTCGAAATTCCTCTCATAATGAGTAATCAATGTCTCGTTGAAAAAATCGACCTTGTCTATCCTAAACCTAACCTGTGTATGATACCATTTAATGAGCACTTAAGGGTACAGTAAATGAACGAAAGGTAGCACCTTTTACGGGATTACCGCGACTAGCGAGCTGAGAAACCTTCCAAGAGGATGGATCAACACCCGACTAAAGGGTTATAAATACACTAGCCATCGTCGCGAACTTTTGTTTAAGGAAACATTTTGTTAGATTTGAGCGGGATCCAGGGATTACGTCTAGTATCGCCGTTATGCATTCAGCCAGACGGCTAGCTCCCGGCACTAGACGCAGTATGTCTACGTCCGGGTTCGAACCTAAATCTTCACCCACTGATTGTTATAAACAGTGTGCATTTTTCGTAAAAGTTAGTCTCTCAGCTCCGACATTCCGATAATGTGGGTATCTAAAATTGTAGCTGATCGGTACTTCTTACCTTATTTGAATGATTGCAGGTACCAGACGTGGTTGTGTCAGCTTTTCTATATGGAAAACTTTCAAAAAACAAAAGAGCATCGGTTCTGGCGAGAATATCAATTCCAAAAAGGTAAACGTATCATTTGTATTCTAAACTCAAAATTATGCTCGGTCAAAGATAAACAACGCAACTATAATATGAATATGAAAAAAAATGAATCTATCGAAAACGCCGAGAAACATACGTTTTGAACAGTCACACTGTCAACTTTCCTTTGTGTGACCTTCATATGGCCCTAACGGAATGCGTTTCTTTATTCCTTCTAGGTGCTTCACACAGTTTTATGAGTATGCAGTAGTCCTGTTTACCATATGGACCTTGGTCCTTTGCTGCATATCGATCGGCCTCGGTGCTGTGCCGCGGAAGCTGAAAATCACCATGGACGTTCTCATCCACAACCGCACCATGAAAGGTATCACTCACATCAGAGACAAACTTTAAATACCATTTAGAAGCAATAGTAGGACCTCAGTGGCTATATTTGAACACGTTTTATTTTAAATTAGTTGCGACTGAGTTCAATCTGGCCGATCTACTCTTCTCGGCTTCAATAGTTAGCCTACTGGGCAATGGATTCCGTCAAATGATGCTTATGCGGTTGATGAATTTGCCAGAAAATCTTCGACAGGATCTAAGAAAGTCAATAACTCTAAAAGAGATAATGATTTAAGGTAATAGGATGAGTACGTAATAAGATTCGGTTTGTTCTGTTTGCAGTACCGTTTGCCATTATTTTATGGACTCAACTCCTTCTAACTGTTCAGGTTGGTCATCTGTGATAAAAACATTATAGAACAACGTTGGCTCGTCAACATACATTATACTCAAGGATAAATTATTACATATGGATATGGTTGTTATAGGTGGCTCGCCGTTGCTATGAATGTATGTTCGTGAGCGTCTTCTCAAACGTTCGAATGCACATATGGCACTTTGCAATGGGTTTCATTTTTTACACTGGTAAGTTCAGAAGTCTATGAATGCTATATAATTACCAGTCATAGAGAGAGCGTCTTTGCATCTACGATGTAAAAGTCTTTTTTTTACTAAATTTTCTAACATTGTATATACCAATATTTTATTTATTAAAGCATTTACAAGGTAATGTAAAATATTTCGAGGGCTACTGTAAGGTGGTCCACTTATGTTAATGTCGTATGTCGTAGCGGGGATGCGTTCCTCAGTGACCTTTAATAGTCAATTGTTTCTAAAACAAAACAAAACATTGTTCCCTGGATTTGAGCAAATAATCTATTAATAACATCTGATTTTTGCCCAAATTCAGATATTGTAGTAAATCTTTCGGCGTTGGAAAAACCTTTACCGATACTAAGACGTTCTTCTTTGCCCTAAATTGAAGGTCTGTATTATTGCAGATTTCCATGAGGTTTCTGAAAAATCCGAAGAAAAGTTTTAGTAGAAAAAACAATCGAGAGATCATTAGTAAAGTTTGGATCTTGGAAGTCTATCTAAATGGCCGCCTTTAATGCTCTTGGGTTGTCAAGGCAAAAGTTAGGTAGCGGTCAAAAAAGTACGGATGATACTTATTTACCGTTCCGATGAGAGCCAAACATTCAATCTTTGACAAGTACCACCTCACCTATTAGGCCGAAGGTTGCCACTAGAGTACATCACCATGCGTTTTCTCTTTCTTGTACTAGACCAAAATTACACCCCAGCCTGATGCCAATTACGTTACGACTCTTATGACCTGAGAGGTGTGATTTCAAAAATCGCCTAGTGACAAAAACCGTCAACACTCCTTCGACAACTAAATATACCGCGAAACTACGAACAGTTTAGGTTCATAAAGTATTAACTTATACAATTTCCAGCATACTTTTAACAGAAAAAGCTATCGTTTCCTTTCGATGTCTAGATTTTCGGGGGATTAATTTCCCCTTCTCTACGCGCCAAAATAATTATATATTGACTAATATATACCCCAAAATCTACCGCGTTCAATACGGTCGTTTTCTGTTCTTGTAACATATTGAGTGGCTATTAGGTAGCTCCAAATAATTTAATTTTGTCGTTTCCTCGTAGATGCTTATAGGTAAACTCGGTAGATCTTTTCGTAACGTTCGCGTTTAAGGCGTGCTTTTGAAATTCCCATACACCTCGATAAAATTCAGTCTGTAACGGTTTGATTCGTTTCGCGTCTACAGAGTTTATCGACCGTGACACACTCATAACCGCCCTAGTGAATCTTGTCTAAAGGTAGAACCAAATCATGGCATAATTTTATTTAGGATTATTAGAACTTTATATTTATTAAACTAAACACTAGGTTGAAAAAGGGTACGTTTAAGTTCTATTTGCTAATTCAGGTTTATAATATCATCCGAATACGTAAAGCAGAAAAAAAGTTCGGAGATCACACGATATTCGAGAGAAAACGCCACCTGTTCATCTGTTTTCGTCAGATCAGGTAGTGACACAACGAAAGTTGTTCGGTGAGATCGTGTTGAGCACTATCCACGTAATAGCGACCGTTGCCATTAACGCTTGAAATAAAAGAGATTTTATCGTGCATTGTTGTATGTGCGACATAGAAATATTTCATGTAAACGTACACTTAAACACATTAGGCCTAATCGCTTAGCGTTTCGTAAAAAAAAAATAGAACACTTTATTTTCGAGCTTTAATGCTTGGTTTGGAATTGCTAGGTTATCCGAAAAAGTGTATACTTTTATTATGAACAGGTGTGCAATATTCATTGTTATCGCTGGCTTTGCCAGTTGCTCCGGAACTACCCGCGTTTTCGTTGTCTGACCTCTGGTCAAGTCATGTCATCTTAGGCAGCGTCATGTGGCTAGTGGCTGTCTGGCTTGAATACGACACAGCCAAGCGATTTGCTGCCTTCCGCAAGAACGCAGATGGAAAGGTGGGCTAGTATTCGTGCGCTCATATATATAATTCAGTAACCAGTTATCATATATGGAAAAACATATCTAATTTCAATAACGAACGACACCAATGGCTTTCTCAGACCATACGGATAGATAATTAGAAGATTTAATCCGTCAATAGATTCGGCAGTTTGTTTGTTTGTTATATATATATATATATATATATATATGTGTGTGTGTACAGTTGTAATTACCGAACTCTGAGCCACCTTCCAGCTGTACCGTTGACTAACGATCTTTTACATGTTTCAGAGGGTATCATCAAAGCACGTTGCGCCCTATGGTGGAATGTTTGAACTCATTTCATCTCCACACTATCTTGCGGAGATAATGGTCTACACTAGTATAACAGTCGTATTGGGTTGTACCAATCTGACCTGGCTTCTCAGTCTACTTTGGACCTATGTCAATCAGATTGCCATAGCTCTCCTTAATCACCGATGGTATCAAGACAGATTTAAAAATTACCCATCATCCCGAAAGGCAATTATACCCTTCCTGCTCTAAAGTAGATTGATTTAGGAATCCCAAGCTATAGTTGATTGACACATATGTACGCTTGGCTATTGGTTTTAGTAACTAGATCGGATCAGGTGTGTACTAACGAAGAACGGGAAAAAGCTAACAAGTAAGCAATAACATACGGGGCAACAACTCTGCGGCTTGAACCCTCCACTAAGCGCTAACTCCAATATTAGGACAAATACCATAGCTTGATTTTAGGTTCCATCTCGATAGCCATACCCGGCCGCAGAGAGAGCCACAGTTAATAAAGGATTTATGTAACATAAAATAAACGTGCTATCTTTTTAACAAAAACAAACGTATTTAGTCTAGAATATTCGAGCCTTTCTTCATGTCGACCGTATGCCGTTTCTTGATTAGATAAAACTTTAATTATTTACCGTAATAAGCTCCATTAGACGCGGGTTTGAAGCGCGCGAATTAATGATACTTCAAAAATGACTGATCCTTTATGGGAAATCGGTGTTGTCACGAGACGAATCAGTACGTGCGTGCGTGCGTGCGTGCGTGCGTGAGTGCGTGCGTATTAAAAAAGTTCTGAAAAAGAGGAACTTCGTATACGAACCAATAATAAAGAATTCGCTGTCAAAAGATTGCTATCGATTATACACTTTTTAGTCTAGGATAACAGTAGGTACTATCGAAGAGCAGGTATTGCCGAAGCACAATATCTGCGTAGCAATATTTTTGTTCAGTGTATTTTGTATCGCCTGTAAAATATACCGCTTGCTATCAACTCTGCAAATGTAATACGCCAGCACATGCTAGCTAAATATTACATAGACACGGTCACGAAATACCTATAACTATAGAGTGGTTATTGTGTCAGCATGCATTGTTTCGAAGGGCAAACCATAAAAAAGGACCAAATATTAAAAGTAAAGCTCTACTAACAACCAGCCGTTAAGTTAGCCTGTGGCACACTTCTCTGAACAACGAGTCAGTACAAAAGGATAGCTAGCGTATGTACTTGACTATCAGTTGTTCCTAGGGAAATCCATCAACAAAAAATCAACGTGCATGGAAACCGTGAACCTTGGTCGTTCCAAAGAACCAAGCTTCGACAGTGAAGTGGAATCAATTATACTGGATGAACTACTTTTGCTAGGGAGAATCTTCACCTGACCCTTTATTAATCCTATGCGTTCGGCAAGTATTAACGATGGGACGACAGCCATCATAGTGGTCACTGCTGTCCAACTATTGTTAAGCAAACATAGAAATGATCTTTTTAATGACATTTGAAAATTAGTTTTAATTAATCTTCATTGTATCGCTAGGCAGATGTGATTGACACCTTCTAATATGTACCCTGTGCAGTGGTGATTAGTATTCGGCGCGCAATATCTTGGCTATAAATTTCACCTCAGTCCTTGTTTCCTCGTACGTCTGCAAATACCCTAAACTCCCCTTTGAGTCTCATAATGTGGCCTCATAATGTCTGATCTGAAAGTCTATTTACCGTCGGTACCTCAGCTGATCGTGCCTGCTGAACGAATACGAGAGACCTAGAGGCCGACAACAGATTAAGAATCGTCCACTTATGCCACCCTTACGACGGATACAACCGGAGCGGCCTTTATCAACGGCGTTTTGTTCTCACTGTCCTATACAAATAACAATGCTTATTTGTGAGTCGTCGAATAAATGCGCATTTGGCTAAAAAGATCATCTTTTGCGTTAGCTGTTTCCGAAAGGAGAAGACTTAAATTACCCTTTATTCAGTAAATTATTTTTGAAAGTAGTTTTAGGTTACCTGAACTCAGTTGAGGATATCAACTTCAAATAGGGTTTAAACCGGTCATTTTTTGAGTGATTTATATCGCTTCGGTAGGCAAAAACAGTTGCTTTTAGGAACGTTTGGCGACACTGTCTCTATACACACTCCGTATAATAGACATATTTTACCTTCCACCGATTTTTTATGCCTTCCGACAAAGAAAAAACGAACTCAACACGTATGAAAATGCAAAAAATCTTCTACTATATTATCTTCATTCTTACCTTCAACTACGAACGGTTCTCACTGGCATATAGTTGGCACAGCTGACAAAGACCGTCTATCGGCGTGTTTCGGCATTTACATAGTATGTATACCTACTCCGATTTAAATTAATAGATTTCCCTTTTTGGCGATTGAATAATATGATTCAAATGTTGCTCATAATTGGCTTAGTTAAATTGTTTATGTCAGTCCTAGATCCTAAACTCGAATCTGTATATCTGTGTATGTATATACACGCTAGCAACCCTTTGAACCGGGTTACCGAGCTGTTATCTCCGTACACGTATTTACGATAAGCAGACTACATTATCAAATGCAGCGCGTGGCAACTAATTACGTAGAATTTTTGAAATGAAACAATTCCTTCAGCCACCGGTTTGACAAATGCCGGCGAAACCGTATTTCATCGATTAGAAAAATTCTATCCTATAGAAAAGAATCCAATCGCATTACTCAGGCCAGAAAGTTTTCGTCTATCAAGGGAGAGAATTGTTGAGAGAGGCAAACGAGCGGTATGCGTGTGATTTTGAAAAATTTCTTGAATCAACTTTAACTTTGTTGAATAATGTAGTTGGTCATGAGTAAATATTTTTTTTATAGATAGATTTTTCGAATTAAATATTTTGACAGATTATGCTTAGCTGTCGCACGTACAATGTGTGTCAAATATTTACGATCACGTATCCTTAAAGAGGCCTTAAAATTGGCCAGGCCATTTAATTAATTTCTTGAAAAAAACGCCAATCCCGATCGTTATCATCGTCATCACCAAATGTATTAAGGGACATAAAAAATATGAAACTTAACACTATAGTATAAGGTATCTTACTTTGATTCCAACAGCAAATTAGATTTTCCTTGGAGAGAAAGACTGGGATCTTTCAAAAGGTTTGAAGTCGTCAATTATATGTTATCGAATATGAGTATCGACTTCACTACTTATAAACCAATGCATTTTAGAGGTTGTACGATCGATCTGTGTAGTGTTTAAAAGACATCGAACTATGCATCCATTGTATAATCTTTCCCTAGCTGTCACAGTCGAACACCCTTATTTTTTCGGGGGGCGGGGGTACTGAGATGACACGCTCTATGCATCTTAAAACATCTGCCTAATGGCATGTTGGCCCAGTTAAAGCCAGACGGTTTCCAGGACAAAGCAACGGTACTTTATGGTAAGACTCTTGCAGAATTTCTACGATTCGGTAGCAGGAAAGCTACTCGTAGCTGATCCTGAATGACAGGCAAGTGTTAATGCCGCGATTTCTCTGCGAGTGCACATGGTCTGATGTATTAGGTAGCTAGGATACATTTAATGCAAATGCGTGAAAGGAACTAGACAATGTGCTCCAGAGGGCGAATTCGTTTTCACCTTTTGTACTGCTAACTTCGTTTGCTCTGTCAGATTCACTTCAGAGGAAAGGATCTAGATGACTCCTGTGACACCGGCTTTAGACTGTCATGTCACATGCTCGTTGTCCTTTCGCCGGAAATTTCAGGGATGGCAGCTATTGACTATATAAGCGTTGGTTAGTATTGCCGTTAGCTGCAAAGCTCTTCTAGATCTCATAATGAAGGTTGTGAGGTATGCTTGATTGACGTGATGGGCCACGCAGCCTTTTGGCGTCTCTCCGACGATAGAGTCTAAAACGCACTGTAACATACCCGGACCTTTCTTTACTTTAGTAATACCGTTAAATGCCTATTCAGTTGTTGTATTTACGAATGCAGCATCTACCCTTCTTAAATATGGGCTAGCGACGGCCCATCATTAGTTATCACCAGCTGTGACTACCTTAATCAAACATACGATACCTTTGCATCATGTACATCTGTGATGATTTCCCATTAGTATAGTGATTAAGGCAATACCAGTGTGTTGCCTAATTTGTCCTGCGAACTACCTATGCTACCTACCTATCGCTTATCGAGCTATTTCCTTTAAAGTTACTTGGGATACAATAGACTCGTGAATTGTTGCAATCTAAATCAGGCAGGGGGTCACGACAAATTCTAACGAATTCTTTTGTTTAGCTTAGGCGCTTCGAATGTGACATGTGCTCGAATGATTGGGTGTAATAAAATTAACTTACCTAATTCAAGTTATCATGCAGTCCTACTGCTGCCAAATGGGCAGTTTGATTTTTTGTTATCAATTAAGAAGTGAATAGCGGTACGGTTTGTTAACATAATTCGTAACGACACGTTCTCAACTAACCTAGGTTTTAACCTTGTGTTTTGATCTTGCGACCTACATTTTCTTTCTCCTTATAACACGGCTATGAATGACAGCCGGTGGTCGGGAGACCAGAAACGTCTAAAGATTTCCCTTGGGGCCTTGGAATCGCACCGTATTGAGATTACCAGTATCAGCATAGCCACATGGAAGAATGGCCATAGCTATATTGCTCCCAATATGCCCAACCCTAGGCCGGTTGACCGTGGCCGGAAACGAGCGACCACAGGGTGTCTGTTGCCATACATAAATGCTCGATGTATTATACTTGTAGCATGATAGTGTCGTAGTTGTAGGTCTATTAAACAACATTCAGCCAAGCACCCCAGACTGCGTCTTGCTAAAAGATCCTTTACTGTAGCTTACATTTTTTATACATGGAAAAAATGCTTCTAAGCTCGCAACGAAATTTCGCCTTGCAGTATAAATCCGTCCAACATCGTGACCATATGCGCAAGATAAGGCGCCACATGTAATGATTCTCGCCATTTAGGAGCCTACTACGGGGGGGGGGGCGGCGGCTCTTTAGCTGATGAATGTTTGGCGTGCGGCTAACTGAGAATACGCCGCACTATAAAGTGTTAAAAAGACAGCGCTCTAGCTACATCGTGCCTTGTCTAAGCCATGATAGCAAATATAGTAGTGAGAATCTATGTACACCGATTTAGAACTATCCGTGACATTTTGCATGGCTCAAAACCTATTCCTCAAATGCCGAATTGTGTTCGAGAAAGGAATTTTTTTTAGGATTGTATGTCAGCCCGCGCAACAACTTCCAAAGTAGTTCACTTACGTGTTCTAATATTAATTACAAAATTATTATCAAAAATACAAAATGTATGTGCGTGTGAATGTTTTGAATATATGCATGATTTTAGTCTTCCGAGTATTAACGAGTGTTCCAGGACCTGTCCTGGAGTTTATCCGGCCATATCAAACGAACATGCGTTTTTCGCTCAATATGCACCGACTCAGGTGGATATGCCATCCATGAGAAAACTGTGGTACCCAAACGTGGTATAGTGTAAGGACGAAGTAGTTGAAGCGTCCAAATTGTTCGAAATTCTATATTTTCCGACTGTCTGATGTCTGTCCGAGTCTGATGAAACTTTTTCAAGGGTTTTCTATTGACCCGACATTCGAAAGATTCCAAATAGTGACCCAAAGAAAACTGCAATCTGTAGCCAGTTTGTGGAGTTGTCATCTGAGCTCTCCTATGAATGGTCTTTCCCGAGGTTATGTCGCTTTGTCCTGAGTATACAGTGCCTACGAGCGTCTTCATGATATTTCTGTAGATTTATTGATGTTTTTTCTATACATCCACACTATCAACACCGTTGTACCAACGGAAATCGGTGTTAACGCTGATCCTATACGAATTTATTGAACGGTAAGCTCCCCTAATCCAAAGAATCTGTTCCGAAACACAATAGCAAGCCTTGCAAAGTGATTTTTCGAGATTTGAGATTCAACCTTTTTTGAGTAATAAATTCTGCAATGTCTTATAATTAACAACTCTTTGACCTATACAAGGCCTTTTTAGAACATACATTTATATACGCCGTTTCGTGCTCTCCATATATGTGGTACTTTGCTTTGGTAGCGCAGATTAGTAGTAATATGGGTTACTCTAGTAGTGCAAAATGCTTATAGAAGACATCACACAAAGCGTCAAAATCGGATCAGCTGTTTATAGGTGTCCAGTGATTCTTGAAGACGTATCCATTACGTTTTTATAAGAATTCTAAAATTTTTACTGAATTTATTTTAAGTCTTAGTGAAACTTCTCTCATATTCTTGTATACTTGTATATATTGATGTAATGATACAACACAGATAGGCGTTTATAGTGCAATGCCGTTACTCATTCAACATCTGGAAACCTGGTATTACGCCACCTTGATTCAATTAAGAACTCGAGAAATCCAGCAGTAATAACGCTATTTTATTTCCTCAGAGCGTACTACGCGTCGACAGAAGAACAAATTCCGCTCACAGACAAACTAAACAGGTTACTAAGAGTCGAACAAATCTAAATACACAGAAGTCCTAGTTAAATCTAGGTCGAAATTTATCTAGGTTTGGTGCCTACCTCTAAATATCATACGATTGAAGCTTCCGCCAATGTGCTGCATTCTCACCTATGTTATTATTCGATGAGTTCTCCAATGAGTACTACCAATAGCAGACTGTGGCATTGTTATTAACGATCCTCCAACAGATGAGGCAGCTTGGGCAGTTAGAGAAACACAAGAGTGACAACCAACGTCTGTGCTGTAGTACCAATTGGCAATCCCGATAGGCCGTTATAAAAACAGTTCTCAAGAACCCTGCGACGCGCCTATAACCAGCGGTTTAAATAATTTTAACCATACTAGAATATTCACATTGAATCAACCTTCTTCTAAAACTATGCACTTTTTCTTCCAGTTCGTTACATGCTTAAGGTACTGCTCTGTAAGTGGCGTACAGCTACAGAATTAGGTCAATGAATACGTAAAACTCTACCAATGCATACGCTAAACATCATAGATATTGCATAGGCGTAAACTTGCCACTTGGGTTTTTGACGATTTTTCTCATTTTCATTATTCTTGACCGATCTCGCAATTTAACAATCCAATACATTCCCGTGTAAGAGGCACCATATACTGGAGACACGATCAATTAACAGGGTTACATCTTAAATGGAATGGGGGTTCGATTGATGCCCAGATTTGCAATGTTGTACAATCGTCTTTTACCAATGACCAATTACTGTTAGTTCACTTCTTAATTTCTAGTCAACTTTTGCTGCTTTTTAGGTGGTGTGCACGTGTTTGCCTTCCTTGCCAATACGCGTCGAAATTCTTGATTTTTTTTTTTAACCGAAATAAGAGTTGTCGTCAAAGTGTTGCTTCGTTGCCAGTCCCTGTTTGACTAACGGAATGGCTAATATAAGTATTTATGAAAAGTCCATAGGATGAATGGATTATTCCGGCTACATTTACCTATAGGGATGCCACTGGGTGTTATAGGGCTATAGCTAGAGCTCCCCTTCACTATGGGAGCCGCTTCAATATGGTCATTGGTTAATCTCTCTACCGTTTGTTTTATATGATTGTATAATTTAACCGTCCAGGTATTACATGAACTTTTAAAGCTAAGGAAGGAATTATATAACCACCAACTACATCAGCTGATCAAGCTAATAATCATATTTCAATTTTATAAGGTAAAATTATATTATTATTTGAATCTAGTAATCGAAAACTATTACTATTTATATCTGTTCTTGTTTCTAGAAAATAATTTAAGATATGTGTATTTGTAAGACCAATAGCATTGACAACCAATAATACTTGCGCAGTTTCTATTGCCTATTTTTGGCATGAGTTACGAGCTCGTATATTTCGATATAAAACACTTTTCCGTAGGTTTTATATAGTTTGATACGAGACTTATCGTCGGGTTAAACCTCACAGTTTGGGAAAGCGTTGTTCGATGTAGTTTCTGTCCCTCCTTTGGCTGTGGTTGAGTGTAAGAGCAAAATCTAGTAAAAATTGCCGTGGTTATCTCAGCAGTAGCGGCACAGAAACACGCGGCGATATGGTAGGTACTCTTGAGCCAGAAAGGCGCTCATCATCCAAAGACCGATGCTCGGGAATCGAGCGGACCCGAACCCGGCTGGTTAGGGGGGGGGAGAGAAAAGCAGAGGGCGAGCCGTCTGTAGATGACGCCGAACCGCAGAAACAATCACGAGGGCAGTTTGCAAAAGCTCGGGCGCTGTCAGGACGGCCTTCTCCAAAAGAGCAGGGTCAAATAGAGGAGCAAGAGGCTGCATGTGGAGGTGGGAAGGCCGGCAGATCGCAGACCCATGCTGGCCTGGTTGAAAAGGTGCAATCAAGAATACCGGCTCAGGATTTTGATCAGGAAGACGCGCAATTCTTGCGCTACTTCGCTACCATGGCTAAACATATTATGAAACTCTTCTCTGTCTACTGGAGCAAACCTGAGAAGGTACGTGCTCCTGGACTGCGTTTTCGTTGAACTTAATCAAGGTTTACCTCCTACTTCCTGAGAAAAACAAAAAAAATAGTCTAAAAACCGGTAGCTCACTATCAGACTTAAGTGGTTTTGGTGCGATCAGTGTGTGGTGTGGCAGGCTGGTATTACAATTATTGTAGAGGATCTTTCATCAAGGCTGCAAGAATCGACTTGGAGGACCTCCAAGACTTAGGAAAGCTATTAAAAAGTCCCGCAATGTTATGTACCGTTCTAAGTTCAGTGGACTAAGATTGTTAGGTTAACGAAGCCTGAAATAAGTCGATGCATCTAGCCCAGTTGCCTAGTATATCGCGCCATAAAATATGCGCTTATTTAAATAAGCGCATGTTTTATGGTGCGATATACTATATTTATTTATCGGGTATTTAAATACCCGAAACCCGCCTGCGTATTGTTGTTGTCAAGGAAGGCACGTATGACCAAAAAGGAAGGTTGCGTTTGACTGTCTAAATTTTTTGTAGATTGGTATTAAAATAAAGTACTAACAAGTGGAGTTTTAAATTTACAGGAGACAATAGAGGCCTTCCTTTGCCAAATCTCTGTCGGCGATGTCGACTTATCAGACGACGCCTCGCGTGATCGCATTATTCGGGCAATCCGAAGTGGCCGATTCAATGTTGCTTCCGCGAAAGTGCTCTTCAACAGAACGATGAATCGTATACGAGTTACTATTCAGGAAGTTAAACGCGCCGGTGTTCCGCTTAGGAAAGACTTTGCCCTCTCGGTTCTTTTTCAGGCTTACCAGGACGTGAGGCCCGCGGGCGAGGCTGTCGTACAGTCCGACGGCGACCAAAACCTTGCGCTGGCCGATTGTGACTATCATATTGCCGGTGGCGCGCTGGAGGTTGTCGATAGAGCCTTACAAGTCCGTGCAGAGAAAATACTTGCGGATATTGAAAGACAGATTTGCGAAATCGAACAAGACAGCGCGCTCCCCGCACCAGCTTCAGGACTTCACATCAACGAAGCTCAATTCGATCTCGTAATCTGGGAAAAAGCTGATACGCCTGTAAAAGTCGAATATGAAGCGGGATTAGTTTCTGAAGTTAGGTTGCACGTTAAACATAACGATGAACAGCGCGATATTAACTTGAAATTTACAAAGGGTAAAACTGGGGAAGATGGATACCTTCTCATATTCACTGACAAAGCTAAAATATGGGAAGTGACTGTACTCATTAAATGGGAGTGCTATCAAGAAAAGGTGCCCCGTGACGAAGAGAAACATTTATGAACGTCTCATGACGCGTACATATTTGACAGATTTCTTTGTTCCGTTGTACGCGTTTTGCAACCAGCATTCTAGGTAGTTACTAATATCGAGCACAAAAGATCTTGTTTTAAGTACAAATCAAAAAAACGTTCCTTCCACGCTTCGATCACCCAGAGGACCTAGAGGTTTGGTATTGAGCATACGATTGCAATATTTGATATTAAAGAAACCTAATGAGGTTCGATATGCGGGTCAGGCAGAACTGGATTGGGTTGTTCATTTCGAGTAACGCTGCTCCTTGTACGATACGTTTTGGTTTATTAAATGCGCACTGGGTGGCAGAAAATTCTCATGGTATAAAATACACTGCGCACGAGTGTTCTTATCTAACATTGTGTTCTAACAATTTTCGCCTGCCTGCGTGCAATATGGAATATTCAAAGGACAGCTGATAGGAAAACATTTATCGTCGAGATTACAGTAAATCTCTTATTGGCTACTGATTATTGGCACACCTTGCTCGAAATCGTTGTGAATCATATGTCGGTTTGTTTCTTTGACTATTTAACAAAGCAACGTTATCAGCCATGAATATCAGACATGTGAGGCCTTATATGGTTACTATATGTTGTACGATGAAGGAAAATTCAAAATTAAGCCCAGGTGCGAAAAGCATCTTATCGCCGTCGTGTTTGTTGACGAACTCCGTGACAGTTAGACATTTCGGGGGATACGTAAAACAGAACATACCTAAGGGGCCACGCAACTTGAACGTAGCCTTTAACAACGTATATTATGCAAAGCGTTCGGGGCAACGAATCTTGAAAGGAGCAGCTCATGATTGAATTGAGCAAGTCGGAACTGCACATAGTAAATACATGTGCCATCAGACATGCAAGAAATTTCCAAGAACGGGCTCTAGCTGCGGGCGAGTCGGTGTGAGAAAAGCCTAGAAATTCTCAATTAAAACTATGTACGTTGCTACCACAGCAACTCTTGTGGGTAGGTTAATGCCACCACTATCTTCAGCTAGTGGGTGGTAGTCCTGGACTTCTGATCAACTCATATCGCTTAGCTCTTATAACACTATGTACGGAAACTTATCTGTAACAGGCTTGTAGGTTACACAGTTATACGCGATAAATTTGTACGGCTTCATACGCATCTTTCAGAGCATATCTAATCGAATGGTGAAAAGCGGGGTTGCCTCCTTACTACTAAATAGTTACGAATTGCGATACGTTTTTTGAAAGGTTTATAAATTCGATAAATTACATAATTAGGTCGCCGCGGTGAAATTCAAACCGTAACGATTGCAATTCAATTTTTCGGGGTTTTTCCTTGAATGCCCTTTGAATTTCTTTCTTCCTTTAACCGGACATCGGTTATAGGCAATATTATGACCTTTTTCCTTGTAAAGCACCTAGATTACCTATTCAAACAAGCTTGATCATATATCGGTGTACCTAATAATATGCTAACTAAGGGCCATAATGAAATGCGTTACTAAGCAGTCTTCGGCAGGACCCGTCATATGGGAGTTATGAAACTAACGGCCAAGTTAACTCGGAATAAGGCTATAAGAAATGGGACAGATTCAGGGTAGCACGGCAAATGCATGGCTATAACCAGATGCATGTACTGAAATCCGCGTGCTGCTTTTTTAATCCATAAGTACTCATCGTGCAACGAGGGACGCCTGAAACCAGACAATGACGCTTCCATCGTCTAGCGGCCTTTCCATAGGCGTACGTTTCCATATGAAATATACGTATTTGCACAGAGAACAAATTCTACGTTAGAGGAGCACCGGGTATAATACAGATGAAAAAAACTAGTCTCATAGTTTAATTTTCAGGAGGAAGCCGTTCGAAATTTGTACATGAAAAATCATATGTAGCCCCAAGGTTCGTGGAACTATTAAAAAAAATGTAAAATCAATGCAATCGTCACGCAAATGCACGACAAGAAGGGTGACTTCTATGTCCCATTGCGTCCGTTAATAAAATTTTAAACTAGATAGCCGTGGCGACTGATGGCGTCTTTATAATCATGGTCGATTTACTAAGCCGTATGTGATCACCGTCAAATTCGAGGATTACAATGGAAATGCGGATGTAAGCGATATTTTTATAGATCCTGACCACAAATACATCTTTCGCATGATAAATATTCCCTGTTTAAAGAGACTGATAATAATTTTCGAATTGCAGATCGACATCCAGAAAAAAAAACATTGCTGGAGTAGTGATGTAGTTCCGACTGGTTGCTGGTTTAAAGGCCGTGCCCATTAATGATAAGGCTATAGCACTGTATGAAGTATTGAATTAAACACGGGATGAAGCACCAGAAGGAGAATTTGAAGATGAGGAGTTCCGAGTAAATCAATATTAATTATAGGCTAGAACAAGTTATACACCTAAGACTATACATTGACGAACCATCACCTAACGGACCGGTCAAGAGCTGCGACTGGCAAAAGCAAATAATGAATTAAAAAAAATTTATTTTTCATCGTTTCGATCGCCAGAGCGAAAGTATACCCTCATTATGCATCTGACTGGGCTCGGGCCCCAATACGCCCCAACGGGCCATAATGCCATGTTGGCATTGAACATGTAGTAGTGATCACACACCACATGTATATGATGTTACAGATATTTGTTACTGAATCATCGCAGCGTGGCTAGATTTTCTTATTGTCGAACTATAATCTGTATTCATCGTTACCTATAGCTCTCCTAAAAAAACATTAGAATGTCTGGGAAGTCTACAGATAAAAATAATAATATATAAGTCAAAAAGTCTTGGCTGTTTTTAAGCCAACATTAAAGCACGCTTTTATATGTTAAAATAATTTTCGACATGTACTATTTTGATTGGTGACCTCCTGCCGTTTTTCTGGTAAGACTATAATCCACTTCTGTGGTTTCTGGGCGAAAAATTGTAATAAATGAGTCCTGCATCTTTCCATTGACACTAACTTAAAACCATTAAAGGTGTTTTGCAGGGCCCAAAGCAGACAATAATCTTATAGTTCGTGTTATATGGCGCATGCATTAAAATTTCCCATTCAACTTCTCTCATTGGCTTGGTAGTTAGAGATGATACATTTCTTGCTTACTGCACCAAAAAATGCGGGTTTCTATGCTTTGGTGAACCCCATTTTATGGGAAAGCAAGTATCGACCGCTGGCATCAGCTTAAAATTAACCAAATCAAAAATACACTACGTGAAAAAAACAAACCTTTCCGCTTGAGATAAAAGTATTTGTACAATCGGGTCCAGTCGATGCACTGCATTTCTCACGATGACTCATTAGCTGGTCGAAAGAAATAGGCTCAATTGAGGGGGTGCTTCAGTTTGGACAAGGATGCTTCTCAAGATTTCTAGCAAATCGATCGGTTCGCCTCCCGTCTGCTTCACTGTTAAATACATTTTTATCTTCGTAGAGGTCAAAGGCTGATTATATCTGTAGTGAAGGCGACGCCGAATAGCGATCAGCAATTAGGCTATAACCTATTAGCTTCCTCTGCAATGTAGTTCGAACTCAGGTTTTCACCGCAGTTTTCCCGATCACCACCTAGGCGAAACGACTACCACATTCTGCTATTAGCCTTTTTCACGCCAAAATATTCATCTCATCTAGTTTTACCTCAATTTTAACTCAGCTATCGATTTTAGGAGATCTTTCCCACATAAAACACTCAATAAAAAAGTTTTCACCCTTGAAACGACATTTGTGGATTGGAAACTGAGGCACAGTTATAGGAATACAAATCATATTTCAGTTGAGCTCATTAAGAGCTCTTGATTGGAACCAATACCTTCTTATATAGACTTTCATAAAGGTCCCACCAAACTGTAGTTCACATTCACCGTACAACCTTCCCATAAACATATATAGAGGATTTCAAATATAGAGTCCAAAAGAACTCCATGATCGGACAGATACTACTGCGTAAGAAAGAGATTTTATTGGCCCTATACCTAGCCAAGCGAATTACGGCTCCATTGCAAATCTTCGCTTTCCGACCCTGCTTCCTCATTGAATCTATGTCAATATAGAAGTCCTTATTTTCTGATTCAGCCACTTTATTAGCGACATTTATCCCGTTGTGAAGATTTCGTATGTTCATACAGTTCTGTTAGCACGCCGCAGTTATTAATCGGCCTGTCCGGATACATGTTTCTCGCTGCACACGGTCCCTAACAAACAATTCCAAAGCTATATTTTTACAGACGCCCGGTTGCAGTTCCCTTAAAATCCTACTACATTAATTTAGTTATCTAATTACATAATAATATTTACTTGATCTAGGGAACTTCTTACTTGGGGGATCGGGGATTCTGTTCGTCTGTTGTAGTGCTATCTATGCAATTCTAATGCTCTGTTTCAACAGCTGCAGGTTATTTTGCTGAAATAATTTATATTAGAATGTGTTTCATGTTGCATCCATAAGTCCTGAAGAGATCATTTTCTAAAATTCTTCACGGTTATCGAACAAATTACCGAAGTGGTCAGTTGGCCTAATTTAGCATTATGCTCTATGGCAAGAAGGTAACTTTATCCTCTAGCGAAAACGGCGTTTATTCAACCTGTCCTATCGCACGGCCTCTTAGCACAATAAGTAATGCAATTTATCAAAAATCAGCTAACCTGATAATTTTGCGAAGCCGATTTGAGTCCGACGAACCGATAAGTGTACGGGTACAAGGTTTACATACAAGGTTTTAGTGCTATGATTTTAGTTGCAGCGGAAGATAGATAATTTTGCTTTATCTAGAATTATGTGTTTTCTTGAGCTTACGAAAGCAACCAAACTGCGCACGAGTGTCTACAAACGGCAGAACGAATAGCTGAGATTACTACAAGAAATATCGAAGAACTTCGATAAACACTTACATAAGGTACACCTTACGTTCCTTCTCAACCAACGACGTGCAGAGTAGGTAGCCGCCTACTTTTCACTGAGGGAAAAAATCGGTAGGTTATTGGAAGTAGAATACAGTATTGCAAATAGTCGGAATTAAACGAAAACAAAAAAACAAGACTCTTCAGTATAGTCGTTCTCAATTCGTTAACTATACTCGTTCATACAATGAGACCTTCCGAAAGATCGGCCGTGTTTTTATGCGCGTTCTCCATGGAAACTGCCATTTGTTTCCGTCACCATCCAATCAATGTTTCGTGTATTCCACTCGTGGAATAGTAACATTCGTTTATTCGTAAATTTTTCCCTGAGCAAACGCAGTTGCAAAAGTTTTTCTACATTCAGTTTTTGACCCTACCGATTGAACGCATCTTTACTCCTCCTATACCACGGTAAACAACCTGAGAAACGAGGTGTGTCAGATTCGATGTTATAGTCGTCCATAGCCGAATTCCCATGATAGTGCAGCGGACTATACGTTTGCCAGCTAAACTTACGGGTAGATAGTGTGTGTATGTATGTTCAAATCTAGGCGTAAACATTTAACTTCATGCTGGGAGCCTTCTGTTTAAAGTGATGCTTCACGGCCTAACCACCGGACGTACGATAAGAGACGGATTTGTCATCATAAGTAAAGTAACAAACATAGTGCGATTGTGTTCTCTCCGTTCTTGACGATTTTCATCTTCAGCGCGTGTTTACTATAATAACCAGCTTAAACTGATCATCACATCTCGTGCGACCGACTGCACATTAGAGAGCAATGGTGTCCAAGAAGATTCAGCGCCATGGTCAACAAGGCATTCGTTTGGCACCAGCTAGGGATCGAAAACCTACTAGCGGCCATTCTACAACCGTCCGTCAATTGCGTCATTAGAGGGTAGAGGATTCCAATTTTACGCGTATACCGTATATATATATAGAACACATACATTGTGAAGAATATATATCTTTCTCTATAAGCGAAACTCTTTCAACAAGGTATAATTAAAAGCACTATCTATTAGAGTACAACGAAAAGCAAACTTTCTCAACCTGCGTTAATCAAATGTGTTTTAAGGGACAGATATGGGATAAAATGGACGCAGGTACGAGTGACAAGAAGCTGATATCTTTTTGCTAGACATTTTATTTTATTTAGGCTGGAGACAGGTACGCTGTATCTAGTTGGCTACCGCGATCGTAAAGAGGCTATGTCCAAATTTACAGAGCATGTCATCGACAGCGAAGCAAGCATTGTCGTCAGCGACGTATACACAGCAGGTGGCTATTTATAGCTTCTTCAGAAGATAATGTACCATTTTCCAAAATAGGATGTATCATGTATGGAATTAATGTTATGCCTAGGTATATACCACCTATTAAAGCACCTTTGTCGCTATAAACTTCATCGGCTTTGTTCTCAAATGCTTCTTCTGAAGTTTCGGGTATGGTACGGGGTCTAACACCGTCAGATGAACAATATGAGTGAAACGAATCATAACTCCTTTTCGGTCTTCACCCTAGATCTTCGAAGAGTTTTTTCATCACGGACGTTTTATCAGTTTCAAGACCGGAAAAGTCTTTCACAATCAAACCAAACTATTATTGCCGGCATAAAATTCTCGACTGCATAGTACGGCCCCTCACATTAGGTCGAGATGAACCGTTTTGCAATGGACAATGGGGTCGCTTAGAAAGATTAAGGCCGAATTTTGCTATACAGGTCAATCGTGGAGCAAAAAACCCGCGTTGTTCTGAGGTCAACCATATTCTACTGAAATGGTATTGGCCCTTTATCGTTTCAACCATGTCCGACGTTAATAGGAGACGAAGATCGAACCGGGCAGTGTAACGTTTAAGCTTCGCAATAACATCGGTCTAAGGCATTTACGAACTTTGTGACAGTGTCAAGAGAGCTGGCTCAAACGACGATGAAACAAACTCGTACAAACAATTTGTATTGCTCCCTTTGATTGCGCTTTTGCTTCGTTGAGTCACGGGCCCCGAAGACATACTGGAAGCATTTAATGCGGCGGCAAAAATGCTTGAAAATTTCATATTCTGTTGCAGATAACAAAACTATCGGTCATAGGAGAGATTATGTTGTCGCTAACATTGAATAGTGTCTCAACAAATAAAAACATCAGTCAATACAACATTTACCAATTAGATACAATGAACACTTGAAGCTGGCCTTCGACATCGCCTTAGGCGGTTGGCCCCCAACACAAGACGGAGCTTAATTATGCTATGGTTATCGTTTGCCGTTATGATATGCAAGGCGTCTATGCTGTCGATATCTATGAGTTTACGATAAATGAATCGACCTATACAAGCATCAATAACTAACGTATCCGTAGGCTGTAGAATTAAGCACACTCGTATTCACGTCAACCACTCACTATCGATCATTTTTTTCAATCAAATTAATTCATCATTCATTAAGAGCGGGCGAGTAGACCGACTTCATTTTCTGTATTACAACAACTGCAATATAGAACGACAGCCGCTTTACTTCGTTGCCACTGACGGCTACGCAATTGATCAACTATCTGTTTGATTTAATATGCTGACTAATTTAGACTGACTTTAAACACTGCATTAGTACGTACTGTGTGTATATGTATATATATATATATATACATATAGCTATAGGTTACGCTATCTTCAAGTCCACGTATTCCTATGTAGACGTCGCTATCGTCGAATCTATACCACAGAATAGCACAATATATTATAAGTATTATAGAAAACAAAGTCAACCTTAGCAATATTGGCATCGCAATACGGTGACATATTATAAAGTGTCAATAGTGGTGTTACCTTAGGTAGATCAGATCACCACGAGGTAGTAATTCGGGCGAGTACCAAAATCTAACAGGCATCAGTTATAGTTGCCATCGTAAATCGGTTTGCTAACGCGACTGTCATCGCGTGTTAGCTATGATACTTAACGGACGACGGAAGCGATGCGCGACGAACGAGAAGAGTTCTCTTAAGCGATTCCGGAAATCGGGACTAGAGGGAGGCGCAGCGCGGATGAGCGATGAGGATTTTATAGATCATCTGAAAAAAGTCATAAGACATCTCTTCTGTTTTCTAGGACCATATGCATGTGACAACGACCCAAATAACAGAGACCTGGTACGTGACAGTATGTTAGGTGTCTCTGAAATTCTGAGGTTTTTAATTTATTGAGTTGAATTCACTTTCAGGTAGCTACAAAGCTTTAGGGTAATTTGTTGTCGAACGAGTAATCGATGCCAGTAAATGTCAACGAAATGGCACATGTGAAAGCAGAAGTGCGCATCTAAAGTCCTACGAGAAACACTTCTACGGCGTTTCTCGTAGGACTTCAAAGGGGTAAAGACTTTTGTTTGCATGTTTTACATCCCATTAGTGATTATAGTTAGAGATTTGTTAAGGTTAAGTGAATTAAGCTGTAATGCTAGACGAGACCATCGACATAGTTTGTTGTAATCTGTTGGTAGACAAACCAGCTCAGTGAATGGTGTCCTCAAAGCTAGACTTCATAACTGGATAACTTTACCCCTCGACCTGTAGACCTGGAGAACCCTGACATTTATGCTTTACCCGAATATTGCGATCGAGACTTAATTAAGCTACGATTATTAATTAATATTATTTCAATATTGTTACGTCAAAAATAATTTTAATAGCTCCTAGTTGGCGCGTGGCGTAAACTAGTTTCCTGTTTTGTTAAACATCAACAAGGGAGGCTTCGTTGACTTCTATGATAGTTATTACTTTCCGCATGCTCCTGGTCTTCACGCTGAAATGACGACACAGGGAGTTTCTTCACTGTTTGAGGGACTTTGTATATTTTATTTCTACGATTTTTTTTCCTTAATTTTAATGTTTTACTAAGATTGTGAACAGTGTTTTTCGAAAAAAAAAAAAAAGATTGTTGATGACTCTGGCCCACATGCCGCACCGGACAGTCGCGTTTTTAGGATGTAAGCCCCCTTTTCGTGGGCAGTGCGAAGGCTGGCTGTCTACAACGGCCTATAGATATGGATATAGAGATAGAGCCATGAAGAGACCTGCAAACCGAAAAAGGCCAAGGAATCTCACCTCATTAAGTTATTACTAACAGAAAATACATCTAGCTGTTCTTCGTTGGTTCCACTTCGAGGTTGCTTCCAGGTGGATCAGTCTCAAATTTCCTTCCGAAGTTCTAGGGTAGTGCTCATGGGAGTAACTTTGTTTATCCTGTTTCTAATGATCTCTATTGCTTCTACTATGCGGGCTGATTTACTTTGGGCACAAGACTATGAATTAATTCTATAACGGGTTCGCCAGGCTACATATTGTAGAAGTAACTATAGGTCCGGTGAAAAAGGGGAATGTTGTTTTAGCTCGCAAACGTGTGTTTGGTTAGTCACCAGATGATTTGTTGCTCTGTAACTGCCGACAGTCCTTTACGAGCCGAAAATCCTCGACAAATTTATCGCTTATTGTTATTGTGATCTACCGTTTCTTACCTAGCGTTGCCAACGTGGAGCTTATCCTTAAATAAAAGCATTTTCACTGCAGGGATCCACTGCAGGGATTTCTATGGAGCCCAGGAACTATGGAACCCGGGAAATGTTGCTTTTTTTTTATTGTGTGGCACCCCAGAAGACTCAGATGAATTTTTTCGGGGACGCCAGGTGGCAGATTCTCAACTACAGTCACAGTTCTGGGAGCTCGGAACTTCACACCGAGGCAGAGGATGTATATCATCGGTATAATATAAGTATAGGTAGATATATGTACGTAGGGTTCATGCAAGGCGTATTATCTACCTGAACAATTGCATTGGCCCCCAATACACAGCTTCATATGAATGGAACGATATGAGTTTGCACGTACCGTTTCTGAGAAGCCAGCGATTGGGGAAGAGAAGCGTCTAAAACCACAAACTGAAATAGATCTCCGGTGCTTCCGTTTTCAGAAACTAAAAGCGTTGAAGTTGTTCGAAGGCCTCGGTGTAAAACCTGACGGAGAAGCTAATTTAATGCAACATGATATTAAAGATGCGGCTATGCGGGAGTTGCTTATTTACAAGCTACGATACGAAATGGACCTTTTAAATGATAGTGCACGCCTTAGGAACTTATTTGATACTACTGTGGATAAAGTAACAGTGTATTTCCTCGGTCTTTACGATTACTACCTCAAGGAGCAGATACCGGTCTACGGCGAAGACGACACAGACTTGCCCGAGGTGATCGTTACATTTGCGAACGGACAGCAAATCAGACTTGGGACGGATCGTCAGACACTAACGATCACACATGATATGGGATCTGTGAGACTGAAACTTATCTTACATGACAAGTATCCTGCTTTTGACCCTGCAACCTCTCCCAAGGAACCGCCTGCCCTTGATCTACACTTCATGTTTGCTGAGCCTCAATTCCCTGCTTCTAATGACTACTACTATTTGTACTATACGTGCGTTTTCCCTTACATCGAAAAGGAGCTAAAGGAAAGCATTTATTACTATAAGGTTGTTATTGCTGCACGTTGGGGCAGTCCGCGTGCTGGAGAGGCACCTCCTGTTTTTAGGAAAACACTAGTTAATGAGGTCAAGGACGCAAAATCTAAGCAAATTTAGCTTCTTCGACCACTCCAGTGCCCTTCATATCTGAGATTTCGTTCTGCGGAGTAAGTGCGATAGCCATTAATCAATCGTTTGGTGACTGTAATTGTTGCTATCGCAAGTTCCAATAAAAAGTACAAGGAACTTATCGGTTTATTTAAGAAGGTACAGGTTTGATTTGGCACTCGGATTATTGATTACACTTGTGGTTGTCAATAACATACCAAGAGTCAGAAAAGCGGTTTACCCACTCACATAGTGGTTGTTGGCTTTATTTTTAGTTTAGGAAAGCACACACGAACCGAGAAAATTCACATACGGGTAGAGTGTTATGAGTAACTTCACATGGTTCTGGGATTATTTAAAAGATCTACGAAAATCTCAAGAGCCGCTTCTTCAAGGTGTTGCTACAAAGGTTGATATCAACTACCACTACAAATTTACTGATTTTGGAGACCTGCTACTTGGTTTGGAAATATATGCGGGGCACAACCCGCGTTTAGGGGGATAACAATCTAGTAGACATAGATCTTTAATATTTTAAGGCTTGCTTTTATTTGTAAAAAAAATTGTATATAATATAATTTCAATAAACAGAAAACAATAAACTAAAATTTAAAAAAAAAAACAAAAAATAAAAAGTAAATTAAATTTCAAATTTAAAAAATAATTTTAAAAAAAATTAGGAAAAGTTAACAACGTAAAATGTCACCTGGACCCGAGCTTGCTGGAGGAACGACATCGGATTACAACTGCCTTATTTCAAAAGGAAGCTTTTTCAGAAAATTAACATTGTAGGCTCATTTCATCATTATAATATAACACTATAATTAATATACCTTTACTTGGCTATGAAGCTGCTGAAATCCGCTGATGGCTTGGGAATTTAGCACTTAGTCATCTAAGGATTACACAAATACTTGAACTGCCCATGCGGTCTGATAAAACCGATAGTGATATGTGGTACTGGTGAAATACAGTCTTTCCAGAGAGCACCGGGAAAATGAGGTTTTGTTTACGATAATACCGTCAAATAACGAAAAACGCGCATATAGAAAAACGTTTATTCATTCTTGGTGATTGTAACTGTAGTTTTTCCATAGGGTAAAGATTACTGGGGCATAATGTCTAATATGCGGGTGGAGTGAGGGGCTTAACCTTACCGGTGAGGTTTAAAACTTTTTGCGTATAACACAGAATGCTATTTTCGGACACGTAATCTAAAATCGTAAATCATTTGCGGTTCGCTTTTCCATATTTTCAATGTCCATTTTCCATCCTAATCTACTTTGTGTCGAAGAAATGGCACGTTCTATTGTTCTCTACACGAGGCTTGAACTTTGTCAGACAGAGAAAAGAATCATAAGAATATTCAGTGTAAATATATTTTTGAATATCTTTCTTGAGTTTATTAAGAGGCTAGCTAATATGCTAGGTTTCTTCGTGAGATCGTGTGGGACATCAAGGTACACAATATCTATGACATCGATGTGCGGTATAGACTTGGAATGGGACCATAAAATCCCATGTGCGTACGACTTTGGCTTGCTGCATCAATTCTTGCCGCAGATGTGAGATAGTTCGTCGTAAAACTGATCTCATCAGACTTGGGCTATATTTTAGAACCGTTGATTATCACACCGAAAGGTAGTATGTGTTACCTACACTGGTCTCTTTTTATTTTTCGTCCCGTTCTAACATTCGACTAATACTTTGGCAATATAATGCCAGGTTAATTCGTGTTAGGGCTTATTTTTTAGACTCAGAAACCGTATGTCGGAGCCTTTACCGTAAAACATGCGTAATAGTGACTCTCATTAGCAACTAAGATCGGACTTGATCTCGCATGCAGATAGTTACTGCTGTTATCATAATGTTTAACCTGCCTTAGGCTTTAATTATTCTAGGTTCGAATCGGGGCATCCGCACACACTTCGTTCCGTGCTAGGAGCCAGGCGTCTGGTGGGACGACTAACGGCAATACCGGACGTAAAACTCCAAACATAGAGACTTCCATTGGTAAAAATGTAATATCTTTGCAGTGTAACAACGTGCGCTGGGGCAACGAGCAGCGGACACACGACTAGATATAGTTTTGTGGAACTACTGGTTATTAGTACTAGGGATTATCGTGGCCCAATTATCTACATTTACATAAAATGTAATAAGGATAAATTGAACAAAGAATAAAGCTTGGATGTATAAGCCTCGCCTTTTGCCCTCCCCAAGGTATTTTCGTTGCATTATCAGCGGAGCATTTTGTTGTCGGTAACAACTTACGAATACCAGCGGGATGTAATTAGTCAATCAACAAAAGCAGTCAAACTTTGGACATGGATGACTACTTGGAAGTATTACAAGTTTTAAAATAAATAAACAAGGTTCTATAGGTGCGCGGGACTGGCACGGGCAACGCAGCCAGCTCACTTAGTAGATGACTGATGACTTATGTACTATGTGTTGGTCATTCTACAGACGTAATTGAATAGTTATATAGTAGAACGAATAAACATAGCGGGTTAGAGTAGGAGACATGTGACACAATGAAAAACCATTGGCTCTCAGAATCGTAAGTACGTCTACGTAACAGAGATGGGACGAAGCTCGGCAGGTGGCACGTCGCTGAAATATTATGTTCTCTTAAAGCATACGCATAGTTTGTTAATTAGTACTATCTGATTGGCCCATATTTCCCGATAACATATCAAAATTACACGTCATCTTAGAGTTTAGTTCATTGTGGCAAATATTTAAACCGGAAAAAAAAGTCATAGCTTTCTGATCTAACAAACACAGGGTAATTCGCCATTGCCTTTTATAAATTTCTTCTAGCTCGCATCGATCTCATTTGCTCCATCTCGCCAACAGGTTGGTAGGTTTGCTATTGAAAAGCTCATTCAGCCGGTTTATAAAGCTTTCCATTGTGAATTAACCAGAAAATGTCATCATCATTCATTCGCCTGGGGTTCGGTGAATCTGATAGGTACAAAAGTACTTCACTGGCAAATTTAACAAAGTTTGCCACGTGTGTCTGGCATTGTTGTTGGAAAGGACGTCTTGATAAATAGATGGGTTAATTCGATGGATTAGAGCCATATAAAACGCCTCGTGAACCGTCCTATTTCTTTCAAGCAGTTTTCCCTATGTTAAACCCTTTCAGTAATGTATTGATTTCTTTTTCTGCTCGTTATCAACGTATGGTTACTATTTATCATCGTCCATAACGACTCTTCGTAGAAAGCTGTCTTTGCAACGATTCGTTGCGAGGCAATGTTAAGAGACGATAAGGAGCCATTTACGATTCCCGACCAATTTAATAAGGCTATCTAAAGAATTTAATCAATGATGTATGCCCACCTGAATAAAGTCTGCTATGATACGGTCGCTAGAGAAGTATTTTTAAACCGCTGTGCAAGAAAGACACTTACAGATGTGCTATAATAGCTGCTCATTTACATGTGTACCAGCATTCAAGCCATTATGCACAATTTAGATACTGAACCCTCTGTTCATGGAGCTGCATAGATGATTCGAAAGGTAGTACAGCGGTTATCTATTCGGCAATAAAGATACTGTTGCTGATTATGTTTCAATGATTCTCGTGATAAAAAGAGCTTGTCAGACTTGAACTGGGAACCTGATTGCGGAGTGAAACTGCTGAGTAGTTCGGGATACGAGAGAGTATGCAGCTAAAAGAGTAGCTTAGGAGATAAGGAATAAGGTGTATTCGTTTCGAAAGCACAAATGGAAAATGGCGCACGACGCAGCAAGTAGACAAGGTCACTTTACTACGCAACTGAAAGGCCGATTTGTCTCACCCGCGTCAGAGTATAGCAGGGCGTAGAATCACTGTGTCCTTGAGAACCCTTCGACATCTTATCGAAATGGGTAATTTAGCTATCTAAACCGATCTCAGCTAAATTGTCATGTCAAGTATGTGGGTTTTAAATAGGCCAAACAATTGCCAAGTTAGAGACAATTTTTGGAGCTAAATTGCATTTTGAAATTTTAGGTAGTAACGCTGAACATGTTTACGGACGCCGAGACGAGAGCTCCTAAAAGTTCTCTTTAATCTAGCATATTAAACATCCAAGCAGAATAATACTCTACGCCGGACTTTATCTACGTCGCAAAAGCCCTACATCTTTATCAACGGATTTATAAAGAAAAAACAGCAATACAGTGAAATAATTCAGATGAATAGGCTGTCCAAGCGGAAGAACGGCTCCTGTATGAGAACTATAAGTAAGTAAGTAGGTATGATTGAAATGTTCATCGCAAATGGAGTTGGCTTTGCCATGACCTGGAAATTTGCCCGACCCAAATCCGACAAAAGGTGAGTTAAGGTTTAACAGAAAATCACCAACACAACTCAAGAATACATCACTAGAAGTGTGGGCCTAGAACCTTCGCGTGACGAAGATGGCATGAAGGTGCACTCGGAACAAGACAAATCGCAGCAGTGGTCGTAACGAAGGGGTGGGGTTACCAAACACTAATATCAGTCAGTGCCATGTATTCCATAGCAGGTAAACATACTTTTCTAACGATAACGTTGTCACATGTGGTATTACTAGAAGGCATAGGGAGTAACGTAAAAAACACACAGGTACCAGATCAGGTGCGGAGCTATCTTCAATCAAATTCGACAATGTGTGAAATTTCTGACCGCTGGCTTTATTTGATTGACCCATGACTTTACATGTTTGTTGAAGTCGAGTTCTCTAACGAGAATGCACTATTCGTGGCCTATTCTTTTTTTTTGGCTAGGAATAATATCAAATCGAGTTTGTGCCGAATATTACGCAAACATAAGATGCCATCATCGAACTTAGGAAATTTAAGGGCGTAAAATTTACACCGAATCGAAAAAAGTTGCTTATACCTTCAAGGGTCTGTGAGGGTTGAGATCGGTATCAGCCGAAATCTTTTTGTTTTGTAGCCAACCATTTTCATTCAACTGAACCGCTGAAAACAACAACAGCTGCTATATAGATAATGCACAGTACCTGGGACGTTACTCTCGACTGATCGGTAAGGTCCTGTACAGCTGGAGTGTTGTTGTTCAGCTAAACTTAAACCACGTACTTCAGTACTTATCTCCCGGAGTTTACCGCGCCAATACCCAATCAAAATATATGAATTTTTCATTTAGTCAATA